TGGTTTTTGCTTCAGTGAGCAACGTGCAGCTGCGAAATTTTGCCTTCTAATTGGTAAAAATGCTGCTAAAACTGTTTTAATGTTGAAAATATCTTACAAAGGTGACGCTATGGTAACGACTCAGGTGTACGAGTGGTTTTCTCGATTTAAAAATGGCGACATGTCGATTGATGACAAACCTCGCTCTGGACTTCCATCAACTGCCCGAATCGACGAAAATGTTGCCATAACTCGAGAGCTTGTGCTTGCAAACCGTCGACTGACAATCGATCAACTATCCGTAAGTAGTGGGTTGTCCAGCGAATTTTAACAGAAGATTTGGGAATGGAAAGGGTTGCTGCCAAGCCTCGGGCATTGACTGATAATCAAACAGAACAACGAGTTGAAACGTCGTGCATTGAAACAACAGCTTGAATCTGATACAAATTTTCTGTCAAAGATCATCACTTGGTGCTTCGCTTATGACCCAGAAACGAAACAACTCAATGGAAGACGCCATCATCACCCCGTCCAAAAAAATGTCGTCAAGTCAAATCAAACATCAAAACAATGCTGATTTGTGTTTTTGATGTCAAAGGCGTAGTTTGTTCCCGCAGGTCACACTGTCAATCAGACCTTTTCTTTGGAGGTTTTAAGACGATTGCGAAACAGTGTTCGGTAGTGGAAGCACCGGTGGGGCAAATGTGTTAGTTGTAGCGGACGGTATTTTAAAGGAGATAAGGTTACTTTGTGAAAAAGTTGAAAGAAATAGCTTTTAAAAAATTCCTGTTTCTTTTTGGATACCCCCTCGTACATGCTTGGACTAAATCCAACCACTAATACTCCCTCTATAAGTTTTTAATGAAATAAGACCTTCCAAACAAATCAAATCCTGAGAACCGCTTACAAGTTCGTGCTGCCCTCTGTCGTCTATCTTACTAACTGTTTCGCATAACGTCTGAACGGTTAATCAATACTTTAACGATGTATGTTACTATCGACGAAGCTTAAAACAGTCGTCAGTAGATGGCAGCAATCACCAAAGGCAAGGTACGCTCTTTTAAAAAAGCAAAATCAAGTAAAGTTTATCTGAAGTCACTTGAAATAGCATAAAAACCTTTGGTCGGCGCGTCCTTTGTAATTTCATGACGTATCATAGGCGTGCGGTTATTTATTTAGAACGATAATAATAATGTTTTTATATCACAATAAATGGATTTTACTATCTTCTTATTTTTTTGATTTGGGATAAAAAATACTTATATTGGGAGTTTAATTTATGTTGACTGAAAGTTAAGAAATGGAAAAATTACAGAATTCCAACGTTTGACATAGGCAAATATTTACATAGCAGGTAGGTATATAAAGACTTACATTATAGGTATTATATATCATCCTCGCCTTCGGAGCTGTCGCTAGAGTCATCTTGTAGAGGAATTACAACGGGATTTACAGGAGGCAAAACACAATATTCATTTTCTTTTTCAATAATATGCCTAGAACACTGCTTCCATAGGTCTGTGGCAGCAATATGAGATACTGCATCTCTTATTGTGGCCAATAGCGATTCACTTAATTGAGGGGTCTGATTATGTTTTCTTACTTTTTTTTTAAAGCAGCCCAGACCAACTCAATCGGGTTAAAAATGCAGTAATAGGGAGGTAGACGTAATACGTCATGGCCATTTTGCTGAAGCAGATTGTCAACAACATACTCTTTTTCAAATTTTTGTCTTTTAATAAGATCCAATAATATGGCTTTGGTTGATTTTTGTGGTATTTCCATTCCCTTATCCTTCATAAAATCAATAATGTCTTGTTTTTTGTGCCTATATTCGGAATTTTGTTTTTCTGTCGGGAATGGTATGGCGCATTGTCGATAATAATCACTGAATTTGGGGAAATGTTTGGTATTAACTGCTGCTCTATCCACAATTCAAATAAGTCGGAGGTCATGTCCTCATGATAGTCGGCACATGATTCTTTGATATTTTTGGCAGATAACAGCAAGGCATTAGGTATAAATCCATTTTCACTGCCAGCATGGAGAATAATGATTCGTTTTCCACGGTTGCATGGTGCATTTAAAATGCACTTGTTGCTGTCGTCAACCCAGTCGTACTGCACAACATCATGGGTATCATACCACGTTTCATCCAGGTAAATCAGATTTCTTTTCTGCTCTCTATAGATTTTAACTTTGTGCAAAAATTCTTGGCGCAATTCAACGATTCGAAACGACTCCATAATCACCATTCTTTAATCTAATTTTTTGTATTGAAAACCACACAGTTTTACAATACAGTGCAGTGAGTCTAAGCATTTGTAATTATAAAAATCTTCAGGATAATCTTTTAATTTATCCCGTATCATTTCCAACGTGGGCACCAACTTTTCTTTATAAAATCCGTATATTATACGACGAATATCTTCCTGAAAACCCACGTCTATTCTTTTTAATTTTTGCCCTATGCGCTTTCTGTGGAAGGAATGGTTGACTACATCTCCCCTTTTTATAACCCGATAAATGGTAGACCGGCTGATTTTTGTCAGGATACAAATGCTGTTTAAAATTTGATTTTGCGAGGAATCTGGATTTTCGTTTTTCAGACAATCATACATATTTAGGATTACTCTTTGGGTCTGTTCCTCTAAATCTTTATGAAAGAATTCTGCCTGCACAGGTTCATCAACCATCTCCTCATGGCTTGGAGCATTTTCTCAAGGTCTCCAAAGAGCCATATTTAGGACACACAAGAACAATCAACACACAATTAAATCAACAAGTAAACTGAGTATTAAAACACGTTTATTCACCGCTACACGGCACTGGCTAAACTGTTTCAATTTTCAGTAGCCACCTGCACTTGTTCGGAGCTCTGAAATACACGCTTTCTCATTATCTATGTCCACGCATAGGCGTGCTTTACTCCACGTGGACCGGTGAAACTGCCTTTGATCTCTTATACGGGGGATATGTGCTGCGAAATTTGGTGATTTTTGAAGCAACAGAGCGTGTTAAATATAGATATATAAAACGCACCCGGTATTTCACAGTGTTTCAAGTGACTTCAGATAAAGTATTACGACGGAAACACAGCTTAGGAACACCATTTGTGGTTGATACAACGTAGCTCTGAAAATTAAAGGTATTATTCATCTTACCAGTAACCCTGATCCTATTGTATACATCAAATATTAACTCGATGGTTTCCTTCATATTTGATTTGATTTTTTTTTTATTCTTACGATTTTTCGAGATTTTTCATTAATCGTTTTTTGATAAGTAGAATTCTTGCCAGTATATCGAAGATGGGGCACTTCCGGACTAAATATGCCCCGGATTCGGTTTCAGCGACCGAAAAAAACGTATTATAAGGATAGTCCGGCTCCCGTTCCAAAGTGTCATCACACTGGATTCAGGGTGGAAAGTTGACGGGAAACCATTTTTCCGGGCTAGCCGTAATCTCTAGCACTGTATCGACATCGAATTTGGAATCTACGTACCCGAATTACCCTGAAAACAAGTTTCCATCGCGATCATAGACGCGCAAGGGTTTTTAGAAATTTTTTATTAGTCGTTTTTTGACAAAGTTGAATTCTTGCCAGTATCTTGAAAAGAGGCATTTTGGACGGAATGGGCTATGGATTCGGTTTCAGCGACCCAAAAAGCGTATTATATGTTGCGTTCACGTTCCCGAGTAACCCATTTTGTGACTTTTTGGTAAGAATACCCCTATACATGTAATTATATGTTAAAATGCTTTAAATGCGGTTCAAATGACCCTTATTCCACGTATTTTGGGCTGCCCATATCGAATCCGAGGTCGTTTTATCTGTATGTGATCCCGTTTATGATGTAGATCTAATGACTTAGCGAAAAATTGCAAAGCTAAGCGTTTTTTGCGACTTTAAGGTGCTAAAAATCCATTTTTACTATCGATGGCTACATAGACTGGATTTAGGGTGAAAAGTTGACGAGAAACTATTTTTCCGTGCTAGCCGTAATCTTTAGCACTGTATCGACATCGAATTTGGAATCTACGCACGCGAATTACCCAGAAAACAAGCTTCCATCTCGATCATAGACGCGCAACAGTTTTTAGAAATTTTTTATTAGTCGTTTTTCGACAAAGTTGAATTCTTGAAAGTATCTCGAAAACGAGGCATTTTCGGACGGAATAGGCCATGGATTCGGTTTCAGCGACCCAAAAAGCGTATTATATGTTGCGTTCACGTTCCCGAGTGACCCATTTTGTGCCTTTTTGGTAAGAATACCCCTACATGGTAATTATATGTTAAAATGCTTTAAATGCCGTTCAAATGACCTTTATTCTAGGTATTTTGAACTGCCAATACCGAGTCCGAAGTCGTTTCACGTTTATCTGATCCCGATCATTTAGATCTAATTATTTAGCGAAAAATTGCGACTCTAAGGTAAACCCATTTTTAGGTACCCATACTTTTTACTGAAAATTAAAATGCCCTAAATGTGATTCAAATGACCTCTATCGCACTTTTTTGAATCGCTAAAACCGAGTTCCAAGTAGTTTCACATTCATCTGATCCCGTTTATCATGCACTTTCTAAAAAATTCCGAAACGAAGCTATATTTGAGACTTTAGCATACTGAAAATCAGTTTGCTTCACCGGTCGTTATATGCAGACGATGCTTTGTAGATCCAGGTAATTTGGGGCGCTAAATTTGAATATCATCTTAAAAAAAACCTCGAAGGGTCATGGGGCCGAATTAAAGGTGAAACATTGGTAAAAAACTGTTTACCTTTGACCAACCGTAAATCCCGGTACTAAATCGACATCGAATTCGGAATCTACGCACCCAATTTACCTAGAAAACAAGCTTTTATCTAAATCACACCCGAAAAACGTTCCAAACTGATCCATTCTTGTGACTTTTGTTGTTGTAATCGGGGCGTAGAGACCGGCCAGGAGTGTCTGAGGTTGAACGTGACAGGATGCGCGGACACGATGCGCAAAAAATGACTAAATAAAACAAAAAAGACTGTTTCAAGTTCTTTTCACACTTTCATACATTGTCGATCTTAACATATTTTATACAACAGCGTGACAAATTATCAATAAAAAGTCAATATCAACATAGGAAATCAACATGAAACTACCTATACTACTAGAGTTTCTATACATATTTATTGGAAAAATTAGTATGGTTTACTGAAGACTCATATCATGAAATGCTATGAATGTAGAGATATTGTGTAATAAAATCAATGAAAATAATAAATTGTAGTTTTCAGCAATCTTATTTATTAACATTGAGACTCTAGATTGTGGAATCTCCTGAGTTGAGATCTCGATTCTTGATAACAAGTATTTTTTTAGCGTTAAAAAAAAATCGAATTGTTATGCGTTTGTCTTCAGTAAAGAATACGGTTTTTCAAAAATTATAACAGGCAGACTCGGTCTGTCATGCTCAACAATCAACATTTATTATTGTTTATTATGTATGCTAACTGTCTAAATTGTATTATTACCTACGTTTATAGTTATTTGGAAAATTACATTATAAAAAGCAAGTCGAATTACACGATACAATTCTTTATGAGATATGTAGGTGAGTCAGTGAAAGAATTTTGTGATGGCATAAATTGTTCTAATGTCGATGACGCAATTTGTAATGTACAGTCTGTGAATATTAGCGTTTATAAAATATAACAATGACTGGATACGACAAAGCTTCAAGCTGAGGCTAAATAGACTACTGTTGAAAGATTGAGGTCAACGTATTATTTTTATTGTGGCATTCTTGATTATTCAAACGTTATTTGCACGTATATCGCATCTTGAAAATTTGGTTAAAAATTGAAACAAAAAATCATAGAAGTAGTGGTTAATATTTGGCTTGAATACGATTTCAAACTTACCTATTTTTTACTGTAGGTGTTATAGATATATTGAGATAAACTATCTTACATACTGAAGTAACATTTATTGTAATCATTTTTTTTCTATTGAAAAGAAGCTGCATATTACCTAACAAAAATTTTATAATGGATGAAAATTTTGATTTAGATTACCGAAAGATTCTTCTTCCGCATCTCGAAAAACAGGAACCTCCCGTAGGCAGAAACGGAAATATTTTGAAAAACTTTTTGATTTTTTCTGTTACGGTCCTGTAAAGACAATACAATATTGTTTCAAAACTATGCCTTCAATATTACGATAGTAATGTAAACTTGAAGCTTTGTCAGTCTTCGACCAACGGAAAAAAATAAAATTACGTTGCAAACCTGTATGAAAATTAAATATTTACATCGAAATCAGTATTCCGAAAAACTATTTTTCCTAACGAAACGACGGTTCTAACTATACATATACATCATTTAATTTGTTGTGCATTTTTATGAACGCTGATGGTGGATGATTTTTAATAAATTCGCTAAGCTTTACGGCTAGGTGGCGCTACATCTCAGTTCTTAAGAAGGAACTATCTTTTAAAAACGAGAAAGGCAAATTCAGATTGCAAAATTGCACTTGATATGGAATTTTCATTATTGTGTGGCGTTACAATTGCACAATATACGATGATGATGAAAGTTTGTACATTATAGATTTACTTACCGCATTCAAAAACCAGAGATTAAAAACTTGACAACGGCAAACTCATAAATAACAGTCCTTGTTTCTTGGAAAATCTAGCTTTATAGACCTTAAGAACTGTTCTACCAGCGCGAATGTATTTTGTTATAATTAATGAGTTGCTAATTGTAAAATGCCCACAAGCTGTTCAGTCAAAAATTATTGCATCCAAAGAAAAAAAATATTAATCCCTGCGTTGCTCGTCTAGAAAAATCGTACAACGTCTGCGGCAATTCGATGTCTGAGCCTAGAATAACACGTGTTGTAAATTCAAGCTTAACAAACACGATTTTTATCTAATTGTTCAAATAATTGATTAGTCAAATTATAGTGGTTTATTTCTATATAAAATAAGCTGGAAAACTTTAGCAAAAAGCAAAAAATACAATTTGTATTAAACTTGAGTCTGAAGGTAGGCAACCAGTTATACAGATTGATGGTCAACCACAGACGTCGCGTATTATATCCAGAGTGTGATGCTTTTGGAGGTTTGTGTTCGATTTTATTGAAAAGTGAATTTACGAAATCAAACATAAAAAAGAACATTTATGTCATAAAAAGACTGACTGAACGTGTGACCCGGTTCTCTTGTGATAATGGCACAAGATGGCAGTGTTTCTTGGCCTATAATGATATGATACATAAATGTACAATCTGATATATAGAAGGTAAATTATTGACAAAGCTGGACAGATATATCACAAAGGTATTCCTAAAATGAGGAGTATCGTGCAGGAAAAAATTTCAGGTAATGAGGAAAATATGGACAAATGAGCGAATTCTTGAAAGTATGCCAAAACTGAAACATAAGGTATGTGCTGATAGACATGATAGTAACAGAAGCAGCTCATGTCATTACTTTCTGAAGAACCCGACGAAAACTGATGGAACATGATTTATTTTAGAAGGAAATTCCGATTTTAGGGATACTTTTTATTACACTGCCGCGAGCCCTATATATATGCAAAAATAGAAGCTATATGTTTAAACGATTTCACGACGACTTGACTGTACCGTTTAAAATATTTCTTTGTTCGTAGAGAATAGAACATTTTACCATCTACGAGTACTACTAGTAATTTTTTGAGTGAATAAACGTGATAAAATTGCAGTCGTTTATACCTTCATTATGTTGTATTGTGACGATAAATACTGCTTCTTAATGATGATAAGATGTTTTATACTTTTTTGTTTATCAACTTTAGAAATTAATAAACCTCTATAGTAGATAAACGAAAAAGTGAATATAAATGCGTAATTGCAAATGCTAGTTAACAAAATCTTGCCCAACTTTTAACTCTTAAACATAGTACACATGAGATACTTTGGAATGTTTAGACACTAGACAAGAAAGGAGTAGATTACCTAAGATCTATATTATGTAGGTAGTATTTATAGGACATTTAAAAGTTGTGCAAAACGCTTTAAATTTCACACACACGCGCGCTGGTCGGTTATACTATTTTTTACAGCAATTGGCTCACTTTAATGTAGAATTACATACAACTGACCGATATATACCCAAACTCCTCATCTCGGCAACCTGTCAAAAATTACCGCAAATTATATTCAGCTTCCCAAAATGGTCGATAGATGGCTTGTAAAGGTCAAATGTGTGCTGCTAAAAAAACTTTATAAATCTCACAGGATGAGCGATAAAAATAACTATCAAGTTCAGACAAATTTTAACGAGAAGGTTTCTCCTGACCTTGGATTTGACCTTCAAGGTTATTTAAAGGTCAGCTTTATTTTTTAATAGAAATCCTTATTTTTGATGCCGGCAATCGAAAGAATGGAAAATTTTACGTTCAAATACAGATTGGAGTCCAAGGTTAGGGTATCTTCTAAAGGTCAAATGTGTGCTGTTAGGTAAACCGCTATAAATCTCACAGGATTATCAATGAAAAACAACTATCAAGGTCGGGTCTTTGGTAAAATTTAACTAGCGAGTAACGGTGATCTTGGATTTGACCTTGATCGTCACCTTCAGGGTAATTTAAAGCTAAGCTTCGTTTTTTGAACGAAAATCCTTATTTTCGATGCCGGCAATAGGAAATTCAAGATCAAGATGACCCCTAGAGGTCAAATAGGTTAAAAAAGTTCAAATATGTGCTGCTAAACCTATAGAAATCTCGCGGAGATCGTAACTGGTAAGGTCAGCTCTTTAGTAAAGTAGCGATGATGTTGGATTTAACCTTGAGCCTAACCTTCAATGTCATTTCACCCAATACGATAAGACTATTCAATCGGTCTGTTAATTATGAATTTTTGCTGAAGCTGAAAATCATTTACAGTCATTTCTCTTGGCCACCTTTGATATGAATTTTTTAACGGATAGTTCGTCGTTGAGAGGTTTTTATTCTAACGAAATTGCAACCTCAAAAAAAGGACAAAGAATTACCCTTCAAAATATGACTTCCAAAAGCATTTCTGTCTTGAGTTTCAAGCTTATACAGATAGCGAAGGCATATCTCGATCAATTAAATGTTTAAAACTACCATACTACCATATTTGAGGGCAAATATTACATCGTGATTTTGGTATAAGTATAGTTCAGTATGATGAGAAAAGTGAAAGAAACTGCTTGGATGAGGACAGAGGCATAGTGAAAATAGAAAGTTCTTTTGGTCCATGAGTCAACCTATTTAGTCCATCTATTGCTTCAGAAGTTCTATTTAGATATGGCAAAATAAAAAAGCATAAACATAACTTTTTTGGCCAGAGGCTAGATTTTTGCGAGCGTTAAAGATAACTGCATTTATTGAGGATCGATTACCATTCAATACAAAAAACTGGCCTCTGCAAAACTGAAATACGTTTTCTTATCGGAATCAATGTTATACAGGATGTATATATGTATAATTTTAGCGATCCATACCACTAGAAGTGACTTGGTTACAATCTTATTGTTACAATATCGACCCATCCAAATTTGAAAGATGATATATTAATTTGTGATTACAACAATTATGCCTCATTCCACTGTTTATTGTCATATAATATATCTAAACATTATGTACAGGGCGTTGCGGTAACATTAAGTATGTCGAAAACTGAAATCTAATACCTCGACACTGCCCTTGAAAACAACAAGGTTAATTCAAGGTTAAGTCAACCCTGATTTGTATTCGGAAACGAAACCGACCAAAATTATTAGAATACTGAAATTTAAGACCTTGACATTTCAAGGTTCCTTTGTAAGGTCAAACATATGTGGATACCTTGATAAATGAGGTAACCTTGACGAGAAAAGTCAAATCAAAAACACTATTAACTAATTAGATGACTGCAGCGTTTCTTCCAAGTAGTACATTCAACCAGACCTCGCTCTACTAACAATTGACCTTGCCCTAGAAACTAAGCACCACCAAATCGCATCGCCCTGTATATATTTTATCAACCACTACAACTAACACATTTACGGTCTCGTTAATAGTTACTTATCGTAATTTTTTATACAGGCAGTGCTTTTGTTGTAAAGTAATACGATACGAACGGCCTTTACACACGCCGTGGCCGATACGTCGACCTTTTTGTTTTTTTTCCCACGAGATTCTTCGTCATCGTAGTCATTTATTGCTTGAGATCATCTGAAGTGAAAGAAGGTTGCGCTTTCGTTTCTCCCAGCCGAGAAGTTCGGCCCAGTTTCACCCGAAAGGTTCCTCTTCGATTATCGTTGAGCAGAACCGGAGTCCTTCGCTACTTTCTTTGTCTAATGATATGCTCAATTCGGACTGGAAAGAGAAAAAAATTGCTGAACAAAGGTGCAATTGAGTCGTTTATTATCGTGTAGAAAAAGATTATGCATCTAGGGCGTTAAGCATGCGATTATGGCCCGCAGCGTGGAATGAGAGCTGGGACGGGTAGAAGTCGACAATAACGAAAAATAACAAAGGACTCCAAATGTTTTGAAAAGTGTGGTTTTACCTCTTCGTTGAGTTTTTCTAGCAGTCGTCGCTTGTCTGAATTCAGGCGGTCCACCTCTTCAGCTTGTCGCGCGCTTTTGATACCCGATATCTCTAATAAAGCTAGATGGGCATCTTTTTCGCTAATCGCAGCTTCTAACGCTTCTCGCCTAAACAAAAAAAATTGCAATGTTACTTTATTGTTATTTTATATTATATTCCTAGGAGGGATAAAAAATATCGGTTGAAAAAGACAAAAAAAAAACTAAACATATACCGCCACCATTGGGGCTTGAACCTACAACCTCCCTGTTCAGAGCTTACGCTTCAGCCACCCATCAACGGTAACCCGTGGTGGGATTTATAAAAAAACGAAAATATAAACTAGCCACCATTGGGTCACGAACCTACAATCTTCCTATTCGTGGCAGACGCTTTAGCCACCCAGCAAAAAATAAAAAAAAACTCGCACCCCTGGGAATCGAACTTACAAACTTCCTATTCAGAGTAGACGCTTCAGTCGCCCAGCGACGGTGACCCGTGGCGGGAGGTATATAAAAAAAGAAAAAAAACTGGCCACCCCTGGGGCTCGAACCTATAGTCCCCCTATTCAGAGCACATGCCTCAGCCTCTTAGCAATAGTAATCCGTACCCGCGCTAGATAAGCTTCTCCTGAGGGATATTCCGTCATCCAGTTCAAGTGGTGTCCAAAAGGCGGACGTAAATCCCAACAATGCCGAGAATTTTTCTGAGGATTTCAACTGGTCACTTTGCTTATCGTATACTTACTTCATACGTGCAAGGTCTTGCAAATGTTGTTTCCGCTCTTTGACGAGTGTGGTCAGGTCCCTTTCCATTGCAACCATTTTGGCCGCATACGGCTTGCAGGAGTGACATCTCATTGCTTGGGCGGACTGAAGTGACAGCAATCGTTGCTCTAGCTTCAACAACTGAAAAATATATATAAAATTTTTTTTAATATTCCTGACTTCAATTGGCTCAACTTCTTTCAAATCCACCCTCTTCAAGTAACCTAAGAATTAACAAGCTTATGTTCCTTTAAACGTAACGTCTTATGCTATCTTCAGAAGTTTTACCAGTTGCTTTGTTAATATCTGCCCTAATAATAACTACCTAACTTACTGTGTCCATAATTTGTTTCCTCTTCTTCTCCTCCTGATGAAGGACAGCTTCTCTTTCCGTAGACAACTTGATGCTATCTCTAAGCGCATCCTCTAACTCCCTAATTCTATTATCTTTCGTATCTTTGACACGCATCATCTCTTCATACTCGCTCTGTTTCTCTATAAAATCCTCAACATTCTTCAGTTTCATCTCTAATTGTGATATAATCGTATTTTTCTCGTCTACTTGGTGCTTCGTCTCATCTAAAATCTTCTTAACCTCTAAAATCTGCTCGTTTTTAAACTCTTTCGCAGTTTTTCCAGCCTCGACGGAGGCTTCGCTTGTATCCTAAGTGTAAGCAAAAAGAAAGAAACATACATTCTGTAACGTACGAAAAAACGGAGTCACACACAATAACAGACCTCAACGGACATGGAGGGTATACGGATTTCGGGAATGAGGCAGCATTGTGATTTGTGGCGGTTGTTGGGGTAAATACGGTAAATGACAAGACTAGAAAAAGCTTTTTAAGAAGCCGGCCGGTCCAGCCTGATTATACATACCCATCCGGAAAGAGGAGCGGAAAAAAGAAAACATGCGTTAGTAGTGTTATTAGTAATCATACTTCAAAGGTTGACCGGTTTTAACCGTCCTGATTTTTTACGAATCGCAACTTGTTAGTCTTATTAAATACATAAAAATGTTTGTACAGAAATAAAGTAAAAAACATGGAAGACAACAACACAATTAAATTGGAAACAGAATAATTAACAGAACAGTGATTTTTTTTGCAAAGGGTGTTACGCAAAAATCACGATGGTTAAATGTGGCCAGCTCTTGATAACTTTTCGAATTCTTAACTATACATACCTCTTCCTTTTGTGCTTGTTGCTGTTGACTCCTCAATTTTGCTTGTGCAGCTTTGAGAGCCCTGGAAAGTAAAAAAACGAATTAAGGGAATTGCCTGCAATCTAGACCAAAACTCGATCTTTGAATAAGTCAAGTTCGTAGCTTAATAATTCAACATCGATTTAATTTTCTACCAGAAATTTGGCCGCGCGGCTCTTCGTGATTTGTTGACGGTCTTGTCACTTGTAACAATGAGAGAAGAAAATAAAAAACATGCCCTACAATATCTCCAATCATTGTATAGATGAGAGCTTGACAGAATGCTGCAATTCCACCTTCCACAATACTTACTGTTGCAATTCTGCAATCTGTTTTTCCTTCGCATTCTGTTCCTCCTGGCTCATCTGAACCAGTTGTAACAGTCTTTCCATCTCCGTAGCAGATCTCTTCGCTTCTTCTTGAGCCTGTTCCATCTTCTTCTCAGCTTCAGCTAGTTTCTTGTTCAGTTCATTAGCTGCCGCTGCACCACCTCCAGCCTAAAAAAACAATTGATCTTGCTTTCATTTTGAAAGTCTCCCCTGAACCTGACGCCTCTTCTAAGGCGGACTCCTTGTTACAGTTTTTACCGGAATCAATATCTTCAGAAACTTTAGCCACAGCTTATCTTTCAACGAATATTTTTCAAACATTGCAGAAAACCTCATTAATAAGATTTTCAAAGAAAATCAATGATTCGCACACGCACTGTGAAATTTTACCTTCTGTAATGACTGTTGCAACCGATCCAGTTCCTGTTTCTGCTTCTGCAGTTGCTTCTCCATCTCAGCCAATTGTTTCTCCTTGTCTTGCACTTGCCTGTTCTTCGTGTCGACCGATTTTTTCTGTTCGTCGAGTTGCCTTCTCGCCTCCTGGAACTGCTTCTTCTCTTCATCCAGCTGCTTCGCTTTCGCGGCGAGGTCTTCTCCGCCTGGAGCCCTCTGAGCAGGAGCTGCGGCGAGTCTCTTCTGGGCTTCCATCAGTTCCATCTACATGGGAATGAAAATAAAATGAGAAAATCCGCTGTTGGTACCGTGAAAGGCACCACCGTTTGTTGAAGGATACAAAAGGATGACTTATAGATAAACGCCTTTGAAATTTTCTCAAGGTCAAGCCCTTAAGTTAATGTGCCGGGTTCAATGTTTATGGGATCATCTCAAAAGAAAAATGATAGGTGCTGCATGCACAGAATGTTGTCAGCACGTCAAAATGTCAAAACAGGACCATGTAATCATCGGTTCGAAAAGTCCCAGTTTTCATAATACCAGCTGTTTAACCTCTATGTTTAGTAGAATCTTTTGCGCTGGCGGTATTGAAAAAATAAAGGTTATATTAGCGAAATAAACATGTTAAAATGAAAAAAGAACAACAAAAATAATGGTTTATTTTCACGAAAAAAAACAAAAAACAAACACGCACATCATCATTGCCTCTAAATAAACAAAGTATAAAACATTTGACAAAAAACAAGCATCTAGCTGCATGACTGGAAATCAGGTAACTGACCTGATTCCTCTCGAGTTCCTGGACCAACATTTCCAGCTGCGCCTGTAATCTCTCCTTCTCAGTCGCAGTATTCTTCACCTCCGCTTGTGCCTTTTCCAATTCTTTCCTCAACCTCTGCGTCTCTTTGTCATCCTGCGGCGGTGGTTGAATGCCCCTCTCCTTCTGGTACTGCGCCATTTGCTGCAATTGCTGTTGCAGTTGCTTCTCCATCACTTGTATCCTCTTCTGCAGGTCCTGAGCGGTCTTCTCGGCTTGGTCTGCACGATCCGTCTCTTGTTGGACGACCTTTCTCCATTGCTCCAATTCCGAGTCGCCTCTTGCTCCAGATTCTTGCAGCAGCTTCTCCGCTTTATCGGCTCGTTGCTTATGAGTATCTCTTTCTTTCTGGACAGCTTGCAGTTGATGTTGAAGCTTCGCAATTTCCTTGTCTCTATTCTCCAACATTTCTTTCACTCCTCGTTCCGTATCTTGTGTCATCTTCTTCTGCTCTGCCTTTAATCGCGCAACTTCCTGTTTTTGCTTCTCCAGTTCGGTCTCGCTGTTGTTCAACTCTTGTTGGAAGTTCATCAACATATCTTGAGATTTCTCTAGCTGCATCACAAGTTGGTCCCTTTCCATGGTCAGTTGCTTAATATCAGCTTCGTATTTAATGATCTGCTTCTCAATAGAATCTCCTTGCCTGCCTTGTTTATCCAGCATACTAGCCATCTTATCTCTTTCCCTAGAAACCTGAGCTAGCTCTTGTTGAAGCTTAATCATAGCCTCTTGAGTCCTGTGATCCACCGTCCTTCTCTGACTATCCAAACCGCTTCTGATTTGAGTAAGTTCAGCTCTAAGTACGTCCCTTTCTTGCTCCATGGTCTTCCAATCCAACTTGTCACGCTCTATCCTCTCATGCATTCTCGCCAGCTCAGTTGCCATGCGCTCAAACTCAATCTTCGTGGCTTCGTTGGTCTGTAAGGCGTTAGTGAGGTGCTGCTGAGACTTCTCCAGTTCTTGAGCCAGTCGTCCTGCTTCCATTTCCGTGGCATCTCTTGCTTGTATCGCCTTTTCAAGTTTCTCCTTAAGCCTTTCTATCTCTAGTCTCTCATCGTTCCTGACCTTATCAGCAGCAAGAGTTTGCCGCCTCTCAGTCTGAGCTACTTCCATCCTGAGTTTCTCGTTATCCTTCTCAAGTTTCTCGCATTGCATCTTGAGCTTCTCGTACCTGTCTCTCAACTTCTCGCATTCGATTACGGCACGTTCGAGCTCGTGTCGTTGCTTGTCTTGACCTCCTGCAACCTTAGCGACCTCCTGTCTCGCAAGTTCAAGTTGCATGCTGACCTCGTGCAACTTCGTTTCTAGTTGAGAGTTTGCGTTAAGCGATCTTTGCAGCTCTTCCCTCATCCGTTCTATCTCCGCGTTCTTTTCTTTTTCTTGCTCGTAGGTGTATTTGCCTCTAGTGTTTTCGACCAAAGCTAGTTCTTTCCTTGATTTGTCTAGATCGCCTAGAGTCTTATCCAATCTTTCTCTTAACCTGTCGATCTCAGATCTGAGCCTATCGTTCTCTTCTTTGGTCCTGTCGTCTCTGTCAAATTTGGAGTATCTGTCTCTACCAGGTACTGAGGATTCTCTGAGAGCATCGTATTCTGCCACCACTTTTCTGAACTCAAGCTGCAACTTATCATGCTTATCTTTGGCTTTCTCCAATTCAACTTGCACCCTAGCGCTTTCCTCCTGACTCTTCTCGTAGCTAGCTTGGACCTTAACCAACTGACCGTGGGTTCTCTCGACTTCATATTGGAACCGTTCGTTATCAGCGTGGAGTTTCTCTTTCTCACTTTGGAGTCTTCGTATCTCAATCTGGGCCTTCTCATATCGTTCCCTCACCATCTCAACATCAATGTTCAGTCGTTCAAGTTCTTCTTTGCCCTTTTCTTCCAGCTCTTTGGATCGAGCTAGTTGCATAGCAGTTCTTTCGTACATTTCTTGAACTCTTGCGATTTCATCTTGAAGTTTCCGTTGGTCATCTCTGGATTTCGTGGCAAGCATTTGCTGTTTGTCCAGCTCTATCTCTAGCCGTTCTTTGTCTTGCTGCACGGTGTCCAGTTTGTTTTGAAGCCGATATAGATCGCTTTGTGACCTGAAAGCAAAATCGAGGTATCAGTAGATAGTACCAGTTTGCACAAAGGTGATTACAATTATAAAAGGAAGATGAAGGAATCAAGCCTATACAGAATTAATCAATTGTCTTTATGATTGTTCGAAATATGTTCATAATATTGACCCATTGACTATGTGTTCTCTTCTACTTCGTCTAAGAACAACTTCAGTAACAATCTCGCGGACTTAGTGAGTAATGATACTCCTCATTAATTGTTTAATGTCGCTATTTTCCGAAAATTTGTTTTTAGCTCCTGAGGATGATGCCGTCGAAAGCTTGAGTTATAAGTTAAAAGAGTGTGCTATGCAAAACTTTGCCTTCGTCCTAAAGAAATTACAAGAATTCCTTCATATATATACTTAATGAGTAATGATACTCCTTATTAACTGTTTATTGTTGCTATTTTCCGAAAATTTGTGTTTAGCTCTTGAGGATGATGCCGTCGAAAGCTTGAGTTTTAAGTTAAAAGTGTGTGCTATGCAAAACTTTGCCTCCGTCCCAAAGAAATTACAAGGATACTTTCATATATATATATATATATATATATACATATATATAATGGAAGGAAAAACATCATCACACATCAGGGACTCCAACACTGGTCCGTAAAACCGCGTGATAGTAACTCAACATCGAAGAAAAGAAAGAAGAAGTGAACTGTCACGTGGAATACAGTTAAATAAAAAACATATTGCCAATGTCATTGTACTTCTAGAAAGTCGCATAGAGTCGCCAAAACACCAGTAAAAAGTTATGTTTATATATGATTTGGCCACGAAATGGTGAAGTGCTGATGCATCATCGGTATACTTGGGAGCTATAAGAGCATATAGCAAGGTCGGATGATCCATTTCATTTTTCTCACCGGTCATATTTCTCAAGCATCTTCTCAATCTCCCTCTGCATGCCTTCCCTATCGTCAACCGCTTTTTGCGAAGCGTAAATCGCTTTGTCTAGCTTGTCCTTTAGTATGTCGACCTCCGTCAGCGCGGCGTCTCGCTCGATTTGCAGTTTCTGTTGCAGCGCGTGCGTTTTCTCCCACCGTTCTTTCATGACGTCGAGTTCCGTTTCGAGGTCGGCGCGTTCTCGCTGCGCTTTCGCTATCTGCGTGAGCTGCGACTCTACGCGCTCCTTTAGTTTCTCGCTTTCATCCTGGAAACTGTCTCTTTCTTTTTGCAGCCTCGTGATGGTACTCTGGAAATGAAGGGATCGGTTAGAGCTGGAGGAGATTTTAACAATGTTTAAAAGTAAAGGATAAAATTTATTCAAACGACGCGCAAATAATTAATGCATTGTATCATTGCATAATAAGGTAATATATATATTATGTCCCACGTTAATCTTCCCGTCTAAATGTTTCGAGAAGTATGCATGATAGAAAAAAGTTTGGAACGTAAGTTTTTGGGATTCAAGTGCCAGAATGATGAGGACTTTGATCATGACCTTGATTGCTACCTGCAAGGTCATTTTAAGGTCAAGTGAATACTTTCAAATAGAACTATCCCTTTTTCACACCGAATTGAAAAGAGAAACTTTTACGTCCGATTATGAAATTGACCGTGATGATCAGCCTGACCTTCAAGGCCATTTCAAGGTCAAATCAAGACACTAAAAACAATTTTCACTAGAAAAAATGTGCGACACCTCTATTGGGAGCTTCAGAGAGCCATACAAGGTTAACCTTGACCTTGAGCAAGAACTTGATCATGACCGAGCCCTTGGGCATGACCATAACCATTGTCATGTCCATGACCTTGAACAACTCTAACCATGTTATTCACCATGGACTTGACCTTGAATGCAGTATTGCATTGACCTTGACCAGGACCTGTACCATCACCTTGACCTTGACTTTGACGATGACCAAGGTGTTGTCAAGATTTTACGTGCATTGATATAAAATTGTTTGATCTTTGCAATTTTGGCATAAAAATCAGGGGGGGTTGCCTTACAAATATCATTAATCATTGATCATCACCTTGATTGCGACCTTCAAGGTCATTTTAAGGTCAAGTGGATATTTTCAAATAGAGTTTTTCACACCGAAATTGGAAAATAGGAATTTTTACGTCCAAATATGAATTTGACTATGATCATCAGCATAACCTTCAAGGTTGTTTCAAGGCCAAAGCAAGACACTAAAAACAATTTGCACTGACAAAAATGTTTGACAACACAATTGTGAGCTTTGGGGGGCTATCCAAAGGTAACTTTGCTATTGGCCAATACCTTGACCATAGTTATATCCTCGATCATGACCTTGACCAGAACCTTTAAAATCATCTTGACCATGACAATGACCATTACATTAACCTTTACGTTGACCTTGACCATGACATTGATGTTGACCATTACATCAACCATTGCATTGACCTTGATCATGACCATGACCTTCAAATGACCTTGACCACGACCTTAACTATCACTTTCAAGGACATGTCAAAATTTTACGCAAATATGAAATTTCTTAATATCCGCAATTGTAGCATAACAATTAAAAGGTTTCATCACAAAAAACATTGAAGATTGACATGACCTTGACTCTAAGGTCAATATCATATTCGGACGTAACACTTCCTGCTTTCGATAGATTCTGTTTTTAGATAGATATAACAAAATGATTCATGGACATCTTTAGTTTCAGATACTCACTTGAGTTTTTTCTACTTTATCTCTAAGCCGATCTGCTTCTACCTGGGCTGATTCTTTTTCCTTCTGCAGTCGAGCAGATTGGCCTAGAACCTTGTCCAATTGCGACTGTATATTCTCTAAATCGTACCCTAGCTTTTCTTTCTCTAACTGGATCTGAAATCAAAAAAAAAACATTTATTGCTGCGAAAATATATTGTTTGGAAATCAACATTGACATGATTCCTCAAAATTGTATTTCTGGTAAGTACATATGGAGCTGTATCAAATATGGGCAGCTTTGGTATATATTGGTACCAGGAACGACCCCTGTGGAACACCTGAGTTGGTGTCGCGGGACCACGACAGAATCATTCTTTAAATAGTATTCAGGACAGTGCAAGCGGGAATATAGAGTAGAAATAGCGAACAGATCCTTAAGCAGCATTCGAGTTAATAACTTACGAAGAGGATCACCTATGTACCTAGATGCATATCTCATTCAAAGACGACAGAAAATTGCACTTACTAGATTTATAATATTTCTATGTTAATATGATAATAAGTTTCCAGAATACTTGTTCGTACCTGAGGAATATATAATAAGAAATACGATAAACGAGTCTTACCCTTCTGGTCTCTCCAAGTGACTTGTCTAGCTTTTCTTGGAGCTTGTCTACTTCTGTCTGCGCCTTGTCTAGTGCGTTCTGAAGCTTGTCTTGTTGCAGCTGGGATTTTCCCAGAGTCGCCTGTGAACGTTCCAGTTCTAACAGAATAAAACATTATTGTCCTTCGTCGGAATTCGGTTATATGATAAAGAGAACATCGACAGACAATCTGTACCATATAAGCGAAACACCTAACATGCAACGATAAAATAGTCTCAAAAATTAAAGAAAGAGCGAACTCTGGTCTCATCAGCGCTGCATTATCTGCAGTTCCATAGTAGTAGCTTAGGTATCGCTTAATACCCGTTTTACAGTCAGCACGAACACGGGAAATGTTGACCAGACGAGTGTGTATCAACAAAAACAGTTGATTGTCATTTTCCTGCAATTCTGGTGGAATGCAAATGTCTCCAGGTCGGTCCGGTGGTTTGTGGTGTAAGCATACAAAATATCTCCTACACATTTTTCATGCGGGTTCAATCATGTAGCATACAAATTCACCTAAAGGGTTCACAAGTCTGGTTAATGTCACTTAACACCACCGCCCTTAGGCCTGTTTGTGTTATAGATTCAATTTTTCCTCTAGGCACTTGTTCCCAGGGTGAGCTGTTATTTACACGCCAACGGGTATTACGGCCACTTCTAAAATCTTATAGTGCGCGTTGTGTACCTAATTACAGTGTTATTGCGCTGTTGGTTGTGGTGTTTTGATTACCTGAAGAGGTCACTGAGTATTTCCTTTATTCTATTGTACTACATGGATTTTTAGCCATGATACTTTTATATCCATGATCATGAATGTCGTAAGCCATATTCATAAACATTGCATCATATATCTATATTTCTATTAATGGCTTATGGGCTCAATAATTTCCAATAAGGATTGGGTTATTAAATGGCGCATACAGGTGTGACGCCTTCAGTCTCTGGGGGTTGTTATGGGACTTTCGGAGCCCGATTGCTGGGTTCAGGTAGTTGTCCTTTGCTGCTCGCTTTCCTCTATCACAGGAAATGTTGGAGCGCTTTGGATGTTGACACGACGGGTTTTGGCCGAAGTGACATCCAGGTCTGTGTGACCATCTTGGCAGTCGCCGGAGTCTGAGAGTTTCTCATGGCAGGATGTGTATAGGGATTGTTACTTCAAAGTTGTCGGAGCTTTTGGGAATTGACACGGCAACGTGATCAATATAAGTAGGATATCTAATACAGTTTATTTTAATAAAAATTTATAGAGAGCTTATGTACTCGTAATCAGCCACAAACATGTAAGATGTTTGTTTAATGTAAATGGTTTTTTGAGACGACCGTTGTACAGGTTGTGACAGAAAGAACCAAGCGGTTTCAAACAGTTGAAAAAATACATCTGGATCTCCGGAAAGAAGATTTCTTAAATTAGTAAGTAGCTTATACCATTTTATATGTAACACGTTTTGAAAGTAATGAATCAAACACAAAAAAAAATAAATATTTTCTATTTTAATAGAAGGCATGTCTGATATGTCGATGTAAAACGATGCATCAAGTTTATTATTAACCAGACTAAGATAATTGACGACTGTAAATCAAAGAATCAAAATTCATTACTTGAAGTAGCATATTGTGTACCATAAACTTTGAAATGAATCTATTTAAGGCTCTTACGCGTGACATTTCAATAGCTGAAACTGCAATTGGATAAATTGGCGACCAAACAAGGGCAGCATATTCCAGTTTACTCCTAATAAAAGATGTATATACTGTTTTTAAACAACGTCAATTTACTGTCAAATATCACCTTTAAATCTTCGAAAGTTTGCCATGTCTCTAGATTGGTGAAATAGACTACAAGTATAACATTTTGAAACCGCCTAGATGTTTCTGCCGCTCCCTGTATTAGCATACAGTGCATATACATATGAGACATTGAAAATGCTGTTTATCTAAGGATCTAACCTTCCCTGAGTTTCTCCAAGTCCGCGTAAGCCCGATCCTTGTCCGCGTGCAGCTTCGCCGTGGCCGACTGTGAGCGCTCCAACTCCTCGCGCAGGCTGTCCTGCTCCTGATGCGAGTTTTCCAGGCGAGCTTTCAAACGGTATACTTCCCCCTGACTCTTTTCCAGCTTTTCTTGCAGTTGAGTAGCCTCTTGGCGGGAACGTTCGGCGTCCGCTTGGGTAACGCGCAACTCCGCCTGACATCTAAAAATTAAAAACAACTTGTTTTTGTTGAATATTGAATGCACTTACAGTTTATAGTGTACGACTTGTGTAGTAAGTTCATTGCCGCCCAAAAACGAAGGTGCTGGTAGGCGGTGCCGTCCTCCCTAACTTCATTCCAAACAATTACTAACCTCCTTAAATCCGACGAAGTCTTGTCGGCCTTCTGCATGTGGTCCAGCGCGTGGCTGCTGGTACTAGTGTGGGACGTGGAGGTACGCCCATAAGAGGTACTGGATGGTTGTACCTAACTACATTTCAACCAATGACTAACCTCTTTAAATCCGAAGGTGTCTTGTCTTCCTTCTCCTGCATACGGTCCAGCTCGTGGCTGCTGGTACTGGTGTGGTACGTCGAGATACGCCCAAAAAAGGAGGAGCTAGTAGGTGGTACCGCCCTCTATTTTAAACAATTACTAAATTAAGTCCGATGATGTTTTGTCGGTATTCTCCTTGATGCGGTCCATCTCGTGGCTGCTGGTACCGGTGTGGTACGTGGAGGTACGCCCAAAAGGGGAGGTGCTGGTCGGTGGTACCTAACTACACTTCAAACAATGACTAACCTTCTCAAATCCGACGACGTCTTGTCTGCCTTCTCCTGCATGCGGTCCAGCTCGTGGCTGCTGGTACTGGTGTGGTACGTGGAGGTACGCCCAAAAGGGGAGGTGCTGGTAGGTGGCGCTGCCTGCGCGCGTTCCAGCTCCGCTCGCAGCCGATCGTTTTCCAATTCCAGCCTCGACAGTCGCTGACGCGCTGCGTCCCAGTCTGCTCCGCCAACTGCCGCTTTGTCCAGTTCCGCCTTCGATTTGCCTTAAATGACAAATGACAGTTGTGAGAGTGCGTCGAACAGAAGATAGTGAGAAAGTGCCGAAACTTTTAGGACATACGTTAAACTCCATTACGGTGGATAATGCGACTGCTTTTTGACACGTAGGTACAATTCGTCGTACAGAACGCATTAAGCAGACTTTATAAAAAACTGGAGCAATTGTAGTAGCTGAACTGTCGACATTGAGGATCACAAAAAGCAAATGCTCACATTACTCATCTGTATGAAATTTTACTAAGTCAAAAGGTATATCATTGTTTATGTGCGTATCTTGTGCGAATATATGATGCAAGAAGTAACTATTTGTTCTACTATGTCTTACCTTATCACACTATACATACGAATATAGTGCGCAATTTGGTATATTGAATGGCAATTTAAAAGTAACATTGCTACTTAACATTAGCTCTTTAAAGGTGCCATGTAATTTGAGATAAAAATCCTCTACAGTCGTTTCAAATGAAGCATAAAATTATATAACCACAGACATAAGTTTTAAAATTACAGGATTTAAGGTTTCTACCCGAACGCCTCACATAAAATTATTATGACAAATAAACGTGACCTGAAACAGCATTCATGCTTAACGATTAGTAGTAAAGATTGAAGCTAGACTTATGGGTGGCATAAATCCAAAGACATAACCTCTGATCAATCAATTCCTATTAATTGAGTCTGGTATACGTATATGTTTTACCATAGTGTCATACCTCAATGTAGGATATTCAGTAGTGACCTCATATTTTAATATCTGTTCAATTAATCTAAACTTTGATTATATATATTTTTTTCCAAGCAAGCAGACTTACCCAGTTCTGACTGTGAGCTCTCGAGCTTAGCTTCTAGCCTATCTCTGTCATTCGACAGTCGCTCTAACCTTGCAGTCAACTTCTCGACTTCACTGTTCAGAGCGTGGATCTTCATTTTGTATTCGGCGATCTCCCTTTCGTGCAGTTCCCTCTCTTCTTGTTTCTCCTGCAACGAAATTATTTCTTGGTAATGCAGACGCAAGGCTAAGGACTAAGGACGTGTGAATGAGCATAAAAGCTGTATCTTACGATCCCGATGACGTCTGCAGCCTGACTGTTGGCAAGGTAATCAACGCACGCGAATATAAGCTTTATGATTACTATACCTTGACACCGATTCACTGATATATTAAATCTGACTGGAAAATCCTAAACAACACGGGTTATAGATCGGGTTTCCGGGGAATCTCAATTTATAGATCAATACCTGTTCTGCACGATCACGTTGCTCCCTCAGCTGCTGCATTTGTTTCTCTTTGTCGCCTATGGCTTCTTCTAACGACGAAAGAGCGCCTTCCGATGAACAATGATGTGCTTGCATCGCAGATAGCCTTGCGCGAGCCATATCTACCTGGTTGTCTTTTTCTTTCAGGAGGTCCTCCAGATTTTCAACCTATTACCAAACACAAGTGAAATACTATTTTTGTTATATTTTTTGCGATATTTGTTAGTACGTTAGTTTGGCAATACAGCGGAATAGAACAAAGGCACATCGCGTTAGTATTGACGTACCATTTTCCATTTTGATAATCGAGCATAATTAAAATTATTCAGAATCAGGTTTTCTAGGTTATACAATTTTTGATGAGACAAAACTCCACCATGTCTGGAGCAGCAGCACATTCATAACTAAAATGGTATAAGCTGATGGAATTTCTAATGTAGTGGGGTGATTCCTGATGTCGTAGTAACACTTGAAGGTCCAATTTTCTAAAAACCCATTATCCCTCTGACCTAAGAAGCTTATAGGTTATTTTCAATTCGTATGGTTACACACAATTTTGTAATTGTTAGTAGAGCAGTTGGAAAATAACATCTCCCAGCATGCATAGATGGTTATTGCGTTACCGTAAATCCCAGCAAACTTTCATACTTACGGATGTCATGTTCGTAAAAGTCACTTTTTCAATTCCACTGTGCACAATTGCACGCGACGCAATAAATCACTGGAGTGGATGCGATATAAAAATGGTAAATTCACTGTTCTAGTTTCATATCAACGGTGCTATTTCCTTTTATATCCAGGCGCACATTTTGCGGATTTAGATTTCCATTAAAATATAATCCTGGCGATACAGTTTATCATAGTCACAAACAGGGTTTACTCTGTTGATTTAGTAAATGATCTGTTGAAAAAGGCGATTTGTTCATAATTGGACCGTTTTATTTTATGAAAAATGTCATAAGCAACTATGCGTATATTAAGGTCGTCGGTGACAATTCTGACAACCGCTAGAAACGACTTTTTAGAACACGCCTTGTGGTGCCCATTGTGAGAAGCAAGTTTGCACATTGCCTTTTCTCTCTCCAAACTTTAGAAGGGTCCTTACGACATAAAACTGCTTTTAAGCGACAATGCTGGTTTTTCGTTCAGAATCCGAGCCCGAACGCGGTTTTCAGACAACGCTCTCCTTTTTACTTAAATTATCCGGTACAGTACAAAAGTGTAAAAATCACGCTGCAGTGAAAGTAGAATTTAATGATGATGTGCTTTGTACAATTTTCATCTCTTACTCAAGATTGCGAAATGGAAATGACTCACAAGAGCACAATTCATTACTAAGACATTTTTATGTATCCACGTCCTTGAATACTTTATATTTTATTATCTAAGCATCCACCGCCATATACCAGACTTTGGTCAAGACTCCGATTCGATCCTGAGAACGCGGAAGTGCTTCTGGACTTGCCGATATGAAGATAAATACACGGCAGAGGGCAGAGACATATTCATTTTAGTCGCAAGTGTTGTAATGAATTAGTGCCAGAATAATAAATTAAACTTTAAATAGTAAAAACGATGCTTTCGTTATGATTTGCAATTTCTTTTTTGTCGCAATTTTTTACCATTATCCGTAATTACTTGAAAAAATTCAATAGCACCGGCTAAAACTGTTGTTTCCACATTTAGTTCAAGTATATCTATGACTTAAGTTCCTTAATCTTAGTTTTCCAAAACTAGTGGAAAAGGAATGAAAATATATTTCCCGAACGATAAAGGTTAAGCAAAAATTTAGGACTATCAAGTCATAAAGTTCCTATATGCAGTTCAAGAAAACATGAATAATGAGATTACGAATACAAAAATCCATGTATACTATAAACATCTCGATCCTTTATTTCTAAAGTTTTTGTATTGTCGATTACAACTGCCTACCTTTCTTTGCAACACATTGATCTTTCTATCCTTAATATCCATATGCTCCCTTAGCTCTGCAATTTCTGCTGCAGCTCTACCTCTTTCCTGCTGGAACTGTTGCTGCTTCTTTTCTATCAACCGGTTCTTTTCTTCCAATCTATACAAACATTTATTCTTCATTATGCAGAACATGAAGACGACAAAACAAGTCAAAAGATAAATCTAAAGACTAGAGGTCTTCAATCTGATCGAAAAATGGAATCACCGATTATAAATTGATTACTATCGTTAGCTCTACAGGCTTTATCGAAATTAAGGAATTCTGAGGTTAAAAATCAAATTAGCAATGATGTATTGAATAAGCGTTCCTCACCTGGCTCTCAGCTCCTCGCAATCGGCCTGCAGCATATTGTAATGCTCCTCCTTAGCGCACAGCGACTCCTTCAGCACGGCGATGTGCCTCTGATAATCCTGATGCTGCTCTTCTAACGTCTTCATCTTGGCGCCCATGGCGAGAATCTCCTGGTCCCTGCGCTGGATCTCGACGCGAAATTCGTCCAGCTGCTTGCACGAAAGAGCATGCGCGTGTTGTCATGCGGGCGAAAGGGGCGTGGCGTGCGAATGTGGGCGGGGCGTCGGGCCTTTGCGCTGCGCGTGCTTGTTCGCGATTGGTTGGGTGGGAGGCGCGACGCGGACGCGTAATGCTCCGGTGGGCGGGGCGGGGTTATGGGTAGGGGGCGGGGCTGAGTGCGTGTCTTGTGTCGTTTGGAAAGTGGCATTGTATATCGACCAGGAAAGTAGCCAGTTGTTATCTGTTCGGCTATTAATATTGCAAAAATTTCATAAAAGTGAAAAGTATCGAAGTAGATATGACAGGATCAAAGAAGAAATAATAAAAATAATAATAGTAACTGTCTTCATTAGGGGAAAAGTTTAGCATAGTGCTATTCCGTCACTTAACCCTAAAAAAATAAAAAACAGAAAACATGATACTTCAATGTTAACAAAGGTAATACTAGTTGTATAAATGTTGTGTAAAAAATATAAATTATAACAGTTTGAAGTATTAAATTTTACAGTGAAAAGAGTGTTTTCTTCAACCATACTTTCCTATTTCTATGTTTATCAAACTTTTAGGAGTGTACATTCCCTTGGTGTCGATCTGCAATGTCAGTTTCCTTGTTATTATTAGGCAATCAAATGTTCAGATTGTTATCACTTAGGCCATATATAAATGTAGTGCATTGTAAGAGTGAAACATTGAGATTTTTGTCTCATAATTATACCTTACTACAAATTAGCGTATGCTATGAATAAGCGAATTTGTCTAAGACCTATAATTCAGAATCACAGAATGTAATGCAACTAGTGTCATCTAGCTACTTGAACATTTTTTCCTACAGAGTAAGCCATAAGAAAGATATATCACAAGAATAACATTCTAATCCTTTTTTTTCGCATAAATATTGTATACATATCCACCAGAAAACATTATTTTTCAGGTAAGTAATTTTTACGCAATAAAATTTCGTATTTTTTATGAACAATCGGGAATTTCTAATAAAATAGCTTTCTTATGTTATAAATAAATATCTCTTACTATACATAATATATCTTTTTGTGGTGTAATAATTCGTAATAGTGCGTAATATTCCAATAGCAACGTTTATTGTTTTTATATATTTTGGCATATATTTTATCGTTGTTTTTATCACATTTTCTTTGATTTAAACTTTCTTACAACGTTAACATCGATATATTGATTGATTTAATATAATTGACTAGTTAAACACGGAATTCTCTACAGGCAATGGCGGCGACAACAGTATAGGTCGAGCTGTATTCTTTGGGTTGAGCTGGCATTGTCTGTAGACTTGGAAAACTCACTAATACTATCTAAAATTTGTCTTACTAGTTTGATTTTCTGCTTAATATATCCACTGCCAGAAAAATACTTTAGTCGTGCAGATCTTTTCAAAATTATAATAATTTCTGAGCGTATATTCTTTGTAGGCAGTGTAGTGTTTCTAAATCTCGTACAAGCATCTTGATAATATCGAGAAAAAGCTGGAGAAGGCAAGAAATATTAAACATCTCAGAGTTTCATGATTTGTGTTTCTCAAAATTTTTTTTTTGGTATGTGCTGGAAATATTTAGGATCACACATTTCTAGTATGAGATGATTTTTAAGTAACTTTATAAAATTATAAACCCGTTTTTGTAAAATTCTGAATTTGTCAAGACTTCAATATTCCCTTTTGATTCCCTGGCCGGTATAGTTACCATATCACAATTTATTTTTCCATATACAACAGTAGATATATTTCTCTCCATTCCAAAAATAAATACGTATATACTAAACTCTTATTTTATCTAATCTATTCCATATAATCTCTATTAAAAGCATCACGTGAACCTTAATTGTCAATTATATATAATATATAAGAGTGGTGCTAAAACAAAATCCAATAATTTTTGAGGTTTCAAATAGTTTGAGTCTATTTCAGCCCACTGTTAGATATTCTTTAATGACATTGAGTAGCATGCTTTGATCATTCTATTGATTCAAAAACAAAAACGTGTATATTTATTATATATATAATAAGGATCTGCTAAACACTTTTTAGTGTCTGATCACTACTATTAGCTACTTTAGGTGTTCTCTATCAGGTACGTTAAACATTAGAGTAGGTACTGGGAAGTACTGGGGAAAAGTTTTGTTTTTAGTGTAAAGTGCAGGGGAGCTAGAAGAAATAACAGTATTTTCTTGAATTGGAACTGAAGCTTGTGGAAAATTGAAATTTGATTTGATGATAGTTGAAGATTGAAAAAATATCTCCATGTCTACGTCATTCATTGCATAAACAAAATTCGAAATTAAAGAACGTTTTAGAGTTTGCAGAGAATTCAAGATCAAGCAAAGGAAAATTAAGTTCATGTGATCAACAGCAGAATGTTAGGCAAATTATGTTTTTGCGTAAATTATTACTGATACTCCATACAATCTATTGGAAGAGTATGAGTAGAGAGACCCCTAGAAATAACAATTTCTAAATATCATGGTCGACAATATCGTTGCTGAAATCAGACTGAGATCCTTTTTAGGATGATTTGTTTTTGAAATGACACTAAATGTTGTCAAAACTACCATTGGTGATACTGGGTTTAGGTGTAGTATATTTCACGCTACTCAAAGTACTTTAAAAGATTGCATATATATTGCATATGATTTACGCATATTCTTTTTATTTCGGCCTAACATTCTTCTGTTGTCGATCACAAAAATGTGTATGGTGTGACCCTGTCTACCGGAGCAGTACGCGATCGAGGTGGCTGCTAAGGCGTTGGTGGGCGGGGCAGCAACGAGCGCGGGCGGGGCTTCAACGATAGGGGGCGGAGCGACAGCGCGCAGGCGATACGACGCACCCGGAGACGGTAAGCGGTGGTAAAACCGAGTCGCAACGGGACAGAGTACCAGAAGAGTCTTAGCCTTTAGTTACAGTCTGCCGATAACGGTGCCGTCCTTGCCGATTTGCACGTCGTTCAACAGGAAACTTACTTGTCGCTTGAAAGTGGGCGGTTGCGCAGGCGGTAACGGCGGCGCTGACACAGGCGGAGCCGGTAGCGGCAACAGTGCGGGGGGCGGAGTCGCGAACGAAGGTAGGCGGTGCAAAGTACCAGTGGAGGCGGTGGTACCGCTCAATCGGTCCACCTCGCCTTCCAGCAGACGCACCTCGCGCTCGAGCGTCGCGATCCGCGCGTCTTTCGTGTCGAGCAGTACCCGCATGGTGCTGCTGGACGGCGACGGCACCAGTTCCAGTTGGGTTTGGAGCGTACGCAACGTGTCGTTGGCAGCTTGCAGTTCCTGCACACACACAACGAGCAGACGGTCGGTCACTGTGTCGCCAAGTCCATAGACGCAATTTATTGTATACATTATGCTATCTGTGTCACTGTATATTAACGTTCTAAAAGATTCATCTTGTGTATTAAAATGTATAATTTGTCAAGGAAAATTACAAAATCAACCTTATAGTTCATTGCTTAGCGTTATTCGCATCTCAGTGTATATTAAAGAATATCATCATTTCACAACGACCATTGCAAATTGATTCTTGTATTCATTTAATCGGATCGATGAAAATAATTGTTATTTAGGATTTAAGATAAAAAAAATTATAGAATGTTTCAACAAAATGTCTCCCCACGTGTAATATTTTTAGCTTGTTCGGGTGTATTGATATAATTTTTATTTTTTCTTAACCTTTAACAGAGGTATCTGTCGTTTTTTAACGAGCCCAATGTCTCCGTCCTTGTGTTTTTATACTGAACACAAGTTCGATCTTCTCTACGTTCTTTCTGAAACAACTTGTGGCTGCAACCTCACCGACGAAATCCTGATGATGCTACCATAGAGAATGCCGAAAGCTTGATTTTATCGTCAAAGGAGTCAAGTTAAGCCTAAAATTTTTGCCAATTTCCCAATTAACAGTTAATTGTATTTTGTACCCAACCAATCGTTGGCTTTGGCAATGACTACTTCTCACGTTATATATATATATATATATATACGTTCATCAAAAAAAACGATAATCGATAATCAATGGAATATAAGGTTCACTTCGTCTAGTGTACAATACAGTTTTTCGATTGAATATACACTAGATTGTACCGATATGAATGAATGTACACGTTAAACTTGGCAACACTGCGACATACCGTTCTATCTGTAGCGTGCCGCTCACCCTTTTGAAATTCGTGTTTTTTATCATCATCAGACAGTTTAGTCGATCACAAAGAAGCTCGCTTTACCACCACCATCATCTCCTTTTTATTGCACGACCTCAGCGGACTTTTTTATCATCGCTTTGATATACATGTGCATAATTTCTTTCGTTTGATATACTCAATAGCATCGAGAAACGCTAGCGGCAAATGATCTGTGTATATTTGTTGGACATTTATCTTGAAAACTACCACCTGGGACATTTTTCTAGTTCCCAGTGCTCCATAAATATTCACAATGATGTCGGAAACATTAAAGGCAAATTAAGCATATTTATATACGAAAAAAAGTTCATATGGTTCTGAAATGCTTCTTTCAACAACAGGAACGTCTAACTTGGTCATTATTCATGGTAAAATGGAAGTTTATTATCAATGGTCATATTAACAAATTGTCTTCTAAAGCATCAGTAGCTGTCACGCCGACGACTCGCTTTGTTTCGTGAAAAAAACAGTACGCCACTAGTTTTTGCAAAAAAAAGTATCAGTCTTAAATCCTAATAGATTCTATTTAATAACTATCCTTCAAAAATGTTCGTTGAGAAAAAAAATTTATTATTAATATTTTTTTTAAATTACATATCGAAAAATTCCAACGTACTCCTTCCATATAGGATCAATATGAGAAAACGTTATTAATTTTTTGCTAAACATTATGCATTTTAGAAATAGGAAAATTTCGGATTCATGTTAATTTGAATTTTTTGTTATATGTTCACATGCTGGATTTGCCCTCAAAATATTTCGTAGCATTCTGTATTCTGTAGACAATGATTTCTACAAAAAAAAACCATACGACGATGTTTTCAAAACTTTATCATAAATATATTTTTATAAAACGTCAAAGAGTATGTTTTTTTTAGAATATGATTCAAAAAAAATCTAATCAAATGTTTAGTACAATCAACAATAATATCACAACCACTACAATACTTCGCCAATTAACTGAAGCTATGCACATATATCAAAGAGATATGATCTAAATCAACTGAAGCCAGTCCACAATGTTAACGGAAAAACATTTGCCTGATTGTATTCCGAAAGAACTTCAACCATCATTATTTTTCCGGTAACATCAAGTTTTTGACACATTATCAGGAACTAATGATTTAAATCTGCTTTTGAATTCAACACGCAATTTTATAATTATGTGTTATTAGATAGCCACATGCAATTAGCTCTAGCTTAGCATCGATCGTTTTACTTCAAGTGACTGCAGTCGCTTTTTAAGCTTCCATAGTGGAACAGAATTTAGATTCTGCGATGTCCTAACGCTGAATGCAATTGAGGCCTCTTTATTACGAGGACACCTCATTTGTCTGTCTTGACGTATCCGAGTGACAGGAGAGATGTCAAAACTTCTATGCGGCTTGTTCTGAGACCTCTTTAACGCTTTATGTAATCATTAACTTCAAGGCTTCCTTATTTCACTACTTTCCTTGAGGAACGCAGGACCCTAGCCATTTTGTTCTTATGACTATGAAATATATATTTTGCTTTAAAAAAGGCCATCTTATTTGATATTTGATACTCCCAATCAAGGCAAATAAAGCATCCTGAAGAAACCACTCAAGGTTGGATAGTTTAACAAATTTTATGTTGCTTTTGAAGATAACTTTTTATGCATAAATATGTGTATAATCTTTCAGAATCGTATAGAACCTAACCAACTAGAAAAAGTGAAAAAACTGGCAATAACGTTGTGTGAATTTATTCCTCCCAATTTGAAATTCTGTGCGACCTTAAGAATTTTTCAGCATATTCTGAGATGCAAAAATTGAGAGTTTGAGTGTAAAACTCCAAATAAGAAGTTTCAGTACTTAGCAGCAACAATTAGTTATCCCAATTATGTGTCAGATTATTCATGAACATAAAATAAGACGATCACTCACTTCACGTACACATCTACTTAACAGATCACTGTCCCCTGATTGCTTCCTATTTTCATCATGGTAAATAATCGATAAAACTGCTCAACGAATAGTAGATTCATCAGTTTTGCTGTTAAAGCTATTCATCGATCACCAAATATGAATAACAAATATAGTGATTCGGAAATTCATTATTTTCTAATTAGGACCTTGGGCACTGAATATCGAGTGAATATGGATAGATACGTGGACGCGCAATTATAGAACTCTTCCGATAAGATCTATAAGAAAAGTTATCGCTTTGTTTTTCGATAAAAACCGATAATCATCGGTTGTCTTTAAAATATGGTTTTTTACGTATAGTAGAGGGAGAAGATAGGAAGATAGATATGTATTTGTAAAAAATTGGTTTAATCTTACTGGTCTGAAAAACAATACTAATCTTCATTTGTGTGATTGTTATATTCCATTTTAACGTAAATTTAGCCTTGATAAGTAGGTTAGTACGTATATGAGCTAGCTCACATTTGACGCTGATTTTGTAAAATTGTTGGTTACGGGGAGTAACACCGCCACCACCTCAACAATCTCAAGATCAAACATGGTCGAGGTCTAGCGTTCAATCAGAGGACTCCTTGATCGTATCATTAACTCAAACAGCACCACCACAAGCATCAAAACAAATGTATAAGCACCTGCTTTTGCGCCATAGCCTGCATTTGTTGGAACATCTGTCTCTCCTCCTCTTTACCTGGAACAGATCCAAAACACCCGTGGCATTAGTCCTTGAATAGCCAGGGAAAGAATGCTAAAGACGCGACATACGTTTCGTTTCTCTGTCCACTGGCTATGATGATGGACCTGCATGAACGAGGATGCATTGATGCACGATTTATGAGCGACTGATGTACACTGGTTGACAAAAAAACAACTCAATCATAGCACATGTCTTGCTTATAAGAGGAAGTTCAAAATAATCCCTATCTATGTCTTTACGCTTTTTGGCGGGTCACAGTAGATCAACAGGAATTACTTTCATATATCCATATTTCTCACACAAGAATATGTAATTCTGCATCGAAATACGCGGACATTTGTTGTGGAAACGCCAAGGAATACGTTTCTTAGTTTTGTCACATTTTCTCGCAAACGTATGGGTTTTTCATTTTTTGTTTGTTTAAGATTTTTCATGATTGCTACGATTACATTCTCTAAAAAACTACAACAATTACATAACATACAAGTATTTAGAAAAACAATACCTGCACCTCTTAGAATTTTCACTGTCCATGAAATGTTTCATAAGCTTTAAACATCATTAAATTTGCAAGTGAACTTTATGGCATTATTTAGTTTACTAATTCAAGTAACCCTTTCTATAATATTGATTTGCCAGTTAAGCATAATAATTGTGGTAACGATTTTCTATCTAATGTCCTAAATGTTGTGACAAAAGATAATTTTTTATTTTAAAAATGAATGACCTAATATGACATGAAATTTTATGTTCCATCACTGAAATTTTTATAACATATATTTTATTTTGATGTACTATAGTTATGACTATTCAACATTATTCTCATAGCTTTATTTTGTAGGGCTTGTAACTTCTGACGGTAACCGCCAAAAACCGTAAAGAAATATTATGTATCAACTTGACCGAAATGAAACCTTGTTGCTATTAAGCATTTTTCAATATTGAATATTATAAAATATATTCAGCAGGTATTTTTTTGCTTAATAAACTTATAGGCATAAATGCTTCTGTAAAGCTGATTTGAAAGCGTATTTTTCAAGATTCTTTTTGGCGACCAGTGTATAGAACGAAGTTTGATCCATATGAGATGCTTTTATGGAAAACGTAAGGGTGATGACCCGGCGTTGCGATTCTGTAAAATGACATACATGATTTTATGTATCTAATTTGTGTATACGTTTAGTGAGTAACATTTTGATTCCTATCCAAGAGTGACCTATTTTGCTTGTTTTTCACAATTTCATTGACTCGGAAGGAAACAATATTATAGATTTGCACCGTCGTCAACACACGATATCAAACTGAACCAAATATTTTTACATGTATCATCTAGAAGAATAAAAGTATTTAAGTAACATCAAAAACCGCCAATAGAAAAATTGGTTTACAATTTTTATTTTTTTTTTCTAGAAAAGCGTGTATATGTGCGTGTATGTAAAATGTTATGAGATATGACAAAAGTGAGCTAAGATCACACAAAACGGCAGGGTCGGCACTGTAACTACGTAAGACTCAAATCCCGTTCAAATTTTTATGCCGCTTGACCGTCTTAAATGTAATGCAATAGATATGATGATTTTCAACCACCAATGATGAACATATTATGTATAACACCAAACCAGTTGAGCCAAATCAATAGGTTTCAATTGGTTAGATCTCGTTAGATAAGCAAATCTATATACGAAAAGGCTTCTTAATCTACAAAAACCGTTCAACCAGAGAGACCCAAACCCTTTCAAGTACACGATTCTTAGTGAGTTACATCCAGGTATCGTCATATTCTCCCCTGGATTTCATTGTCCCATAGTAAATAACCTGTGGGTATTAAGTCTGGAGGACCAGCAGGACACTAATTAATATCTGTAACAATTTTTATATGTCTCTGTTAAACTATACTGACGCTGCTATTACGAGGATAATGAAGTTCTAGCTGCACACCGTAATGCTCGGTTGTTTCTAGATGTTGTTTCAAATCATTTATTATTTTGCAAAAAAATGTTCCCTTTCTATAATCGAACCATTCGGCGCACTAAATAACGTAACACAAATATTTTTCAGCCATGTTTCTTCTTTTTTCACAAAATATCGAATTTTTCGTATTATATAGTGACACCGATTCACTTATTTTTTTCTACGAACCTTCTGATTTGACTCGACCGAACAAATAACCGAAGAGTGTGAGTGTAAAATGTGTGAATGCTGAAAGGGCAAAAAGCTTCGCTGAGGGTGAAACGCGAGATGACGTACGGACAGACAAACATACAGAGAAGGGTGATTTGCGAACGGACAAAGGGCCACTAGCCACTTACCCATGCCTTTGTTTTGCAGCATCTCCAGCAGCTTCTTGATGCTTTCGTCGCGCGCTTGGAGTGTCTGCTTTTGGGTCTCTATTCTTAGCTCTAGCTCCTGAGGGCAGAGAACGGAAAGTGGTGATTATTTAGGGGTGAATGCACAGTTAGGTGAATTGGAATTTTTGCTTTTAATTTGTGTATATATTTGTTATTAGAAACAGTTAAATCTTTCTAAACTTTATCTCTAAAAAACAAACTTTACTAATATGAAATACGTGCTTTGAACCAGGATGTTACAGATCGTTGTAAGTAAAATGAAAAATATAAAATAAAAAATTTAACGAACATAACAAAAATCTCCAAAATTCACTTCCTTAAGCAAAATCGATACTGTTTTGAGCACCATGTATGAGATTCCAAATAACTACTTACTCTAAATACATAACCAAACCGGCTGCACATTGTTGGTTGCTTCTAATTCAAGTATATTTAATTGTTTAGCAACGAACTGTAATCTGATATGGTTAAATGAACAACACTTTGGCTAGCAAACTTTCAAACTGATACTGCGTTTGGTTCCAAACTAGAACGGTGAGAATATTTTGCGCATGCTTTCGACTAGTTTGGTGCAGTTTGCAAGTTTTGTTGGAATGGACAAGGGACATGAATCGTAAAAGTGAATCGATAACTGCTGTAAACAAGCTGAATGAGACGTGAGATAACAAGGAAGTGCTTCTACAATGTGAATTCAAGAAATGGAGATGGTACAACGTATTTTCCATGTATAGGTATAATTCTACAAGGTGCAAATTTGCACCTACAACGAAGGGTTACCAAATTTGGAAGATCATAAAAATTAAGAGCGTTTCAAGTTTGGTTCAATGTTTAGTTTTGAAAAATTTCCAAATTTTCAAAATTTCCAGTATTTTCAGTTGACATTCTCAGAAGATTTTAAAAATGTTCTAAATAACACAGAATACTAAGTTTTTCAAATTCTAAAGATATTTAGCATATCCGTGATATTACAAAATTTTTCAAATTCTCAAAAATATCAATATTTTAAGAATTTTCAATATATTCAATATTTGTAAGATTAATGAAACTTTCGCAGTTTAATTTTCAGAATTTGCAGTTTTAAAAAGTTGAGGAATTTCATATGTAATTCATAACTTCATGGATCTTCTTAATTGGCAGTATTTTCGAAATAACTCAAAATACCCGACTTTTAAAATTTTCGAGATATTTAAAATATCCGTAATTTACAAAATTTTCTAAATTACTAAAACTTTCAAAATTTTTAAAATTCACCACTGTCAGGGTTTTTAAGATTCTCAAATATTTCCGGAATTTAGAAAATTTTGAGAGTTTCAAGAATTTTCAATTAAATAAAAAAAATATTTTTAAAAATGGACAGAATTTTGTAGTAGTGTTAATTAAATTATCCAAGATTTTCTGAATTTTTGGGTTTTTGTAATAATCAGAGAATTTCCAAAGTTACTCAAAACAAGGTATTTCAAGAATTTCCGTGATTTTTAAAATTTTCAAAATCACCAAACTTCAAATTTTTTTTAAAATTTAAATGTTTTAAGGATTCTCAAAATTCTCAGAACTTTATGTTTTCTCAATTCAGGGTTTCAAACATTTTCGGAATTATCAAGGGTTTTAAAATACTCGGCTTCCCAAATTTTCGAGATATTTCGAATATTCGTACTTTTCGAAATAATGAAAACATTCAAAATTTCTATTATTCGAAAGATTCCACCAAAATTTGAAGTATTTTGAATTAAACCAAAGTTAAAAGATTTAAAAACCTACAACATTTTGAAGGTTATTAAATTATCCAAGATTTTCAGACTTTTAGGATTTGTATATTATATATTTAAAACTTTCAGTATTTTTAAAATTTCCAAAATTACTCGAAATATTTAAAATTTTCGGGGTATCAAGAATTTCCCTAATTTAGAAAATTTTCGAAATTATCAAAATTTCAAAAATACTCAAATCACTTTGTCTTTAGGATCCTCAAAATTCCCAGAATTTTTATAGTTTTAAAAATTTGGAGAATTTACAGTATTTTTTCAAAATATTCGGGTTTTCAGATTTGCTAGATATATATTTAGAATATTCGTAATTTTCTTAATTTTCAAAATTATCTGAATGTTTCAGAACTTAAAATTTAAAAGATTTCACCATTTTCAAAATATTCAAGATTTTCAAAATTCTTGGAATTTTCGAAAATATAAAAATCTCAGGAGTTTTAAGTGAAATCCAATTTATAAGATTTTCTAAATCTACTTAATTCTCAGTGTTAATCGAATTTTTCAAGAGTTTTCTAAATATTCAAAATTTCTAACATTTCTTTTCAAAATTTTCGAGAGATCAAGAATTTTTAAAAACTTCATAACTTCAAAAACCTTCAAAAATCTGAAAACTCGTGATAAGAAGTCACAGCCTACTGTGAAATGCAAGCCATGGATCTCCCCTTGAAGATCACTCAAGGGTCCGCTATTATTCTTTCAAAATCCAAGGGGAATAGGCGCTCAAGGTTGATGTTAGACCATCTTTTGTTTCCAGTATCAATTTAATTTGAGCGAGTTCTGTCTTCCGAAGAAATATTCTCTTCGATTTATCAAGTACTTGAAATCCTGAAGGAAACGATATCACCTTCTAACCACATAGTAAGAACGGAATGAGCAAGACGCATACCCACCGATAGAACTGACAAATCGTAAAGATTATTCAGATCGAATTCGGAGACGCGACGGCGCCGAGAAAGAATAAACGACTATCTATCTCTTTCCAGGATAACAGTCTAGTTACAATAGATTAATGTGGAGGAAAAATAATAAAAAAGGCATAATTTTATTTTGATCATCTCCCCTGCAATTAGATCAAAACGGTGAAATTGATCCTACTAGCGTGAGATGCTCTGGAATCTAAAAATTCAACTTATACATTTCCAATAAAGAATTGGAAAATGTGTAGGAGTATTAATCGCGTTGGCATCTACTGTCTATCGACATATTTTTCTTTATGCCACCCAGGTTGTAGATCGTTCTTCATTTGGAGTCTCTGGTATCGAAAGCGTTGGTGCGACAATTGAAATTGGTTTCGCTGCCCAATTGTAAGAATCTCCAAAATGTGGTCTTCACACTAAAACTCCTCAGTCGCTCGCCATACACAAACAAGCTAAGAGATACGAGGGGCAAGTAAAAAGTAAGGTTCCCACATTTTTTTCAGGTGTAAGACATTTTTTATTGAAATTGCAAATTACACCATCTGAAAGCTTGGTCTCTTAGCTACTTTTCTACATACTCGCCAAATTTTTCTACACATTTTTGCTGTCGAGAAATCCACTTTTGAAAACCTGCCTCTAAAACCGTCGCCGCCAACCCGTTGAGGTACGTGGTGACTGCATTCTGGACCTCTTCGTCCGTAGCGAAGCGTTGTCCACCCAGGTGTTGCTTCAATTTCGGGAACAAGTGGAAATCGCTCGGGGCAAGATCAGGGCTATAGGCAGCTTGCTCCACGATTTCCCAGCCAAATTGTCCGATTAAGGCTTTGGTGTTGCGAGAGACGTGTGGGCGCGCATTGTCGTGATGGAGCCTAACGCCCTTCGTGAGTCTTCCTCTCCGGCGATTTTGGATGGCTCTTCTGAGTTTCTTTAGTGTCTCGCAGTATCTTTCCGAATTTATGGTGGTCCCAGTAGGCATGAAATCCACGAGAAGGACGCCTTTACGGTCCCAAAAAACCGTAGCCATCACTTTTCCTGCGGAGAGCGTCTGCTTGAATTTCTTCGGTCTGGGCGAATCGGAATGGCGCCATTGTTTGGACTGTTGTTTGGTTTCCGGCGTGACGTAATGGCACCACGTTTCATCTCCCGTTACAATAGAGTCCAAAAATTCTTCGGTATTCTCGGCACATTGCTGAAGAAACTCCCGAGCACACTTGACGCGGTTCTCTTTGTGGGTTTCTGAGAGCATATGCGGTACCCACCGCGCACACACCTTGCGATAACCGAGTTTTTCAGTCAAAATGTTGTCGATTGTTTTCTCTGAAACCTCAGGCACTTTTTCAGCCAGTTCCCGAAGCGTTGCTCGCCGATCCTCCTGGAGAAGACGGTCGATTTTTGCCACGACGTCGTCGGACACCGATGGCCTTCCACTTCTTGGCTCGTCGTGAATGTCTGTTCGTCCTCCGGAAAACTCCCTGCACCATTTACGGACGTGTTGCACCCTGATGCAAGCTTCCCCATAAATTTCTGTTAACTGCCGATGAATTTCAACAGGCGGTAACTTCTTGGCGTTGAGAAAACGGATCACTGCCCGGATCTCGCACCTGGCGGTGACGGCGATTGCGGGCTCCATCTCGAACGGCTGTCAGGCCGGCACTGAGCGTCTTAGCGACCTCCCCGGCCGCTAGGAATGAAGTGGGGGAACAGACGCACACGGCGGTGTCGCCGGATTTCGCCTAGCAACACGCGCGGCGGAGCTACAGCGTTGGGAACCTTACTTTTTACTTGCCCCTCGTATGTGCTGAAATTCGGGGTATTTCAATTCCCCCCGCCCCGAAACCCCCTCGGACTGGACTATCGAGAAAAAATACACGATGCATCGATCTTGCCATGGCATAAACCTTGCCCCAGTTTCCTATATCCCAGCAAATTTCGGCGTTAGAGCTCGCCAATCCCATGTCGGTCGCGTCGCACAGTTTCATTATGGTCGAACTTTCTTGCGAGGTTCTTATTGAAATACTTTGGAACGGATTTTTCAAGAAAAAATATCTCTTATAACATAAAATCAACCTATACTTCAAAATGCCCGACCTCGCGTCGTTGACATCTTCAAAGAACGACCTGTTTCACTTTCCTCGCAATAGCAAATATTCACCCACCTTGATAGTATCTCTTAATATAGCAATTTCTCTCTGTAGATGTTCGTTTTCTTGATACAAAGCCTCCATCTGCTGTTGAATTTCTATACTTGGCCCTCGAACTCGCATCCTTAGTTCCTCTTCTAATTGTCGCACGAGCATTGCTTGTTTCTGAAACAAAGCACCGTATGAAAACAACCAATGAATAAACACTTATATCGGATAGACGCGTTCATTGAAAATATCGTTCTGTCTTGGGAACAAAATGATTGTAAAACCAGAGCGGCACCCAACTAACAATTATCACTCCTATTAGAGTTGCAAGAATCATTATACAGTATTCCTTAAACAGCATGGTACACTGTAAGAACATTGGCAAAACCCTCTTAGAACAGCTATACAAGCGGAATGGGCACACCTAATAGGACACTTCAGTCATTTAAGAGGTTGTATAAGGGCTGCAGGTAACAGTTATAAAACAAAAGTGCAAGCCTCTTGCAGCCGCTATAGGACATTTGCGTCAGTGCAAGATTCAGTTTTTATCAACTATGCAACTATTCTGTTACGTGATTCTTCTTGCAACCAAACTATTTCTTATGTATTGTATAGACGAAGTGAAGAATATATAACTAACACATTACAGTCATCTTGTTTACTTACATATCGGCCATTGTGAATTTCATACACAGGTATATGATAAACTTCTACACTGTGATATAGGGCTATTGAATTACTTGCGCAGCAAATTTTATTGTTATTGATGGAAAACTGAACTTATCTGCGTTAAATCTTCCACAAATCCTATATTTAAACACAATTACACTAATGTTTATCACTTTATATCTGTAATTTCGAACTGAAACATAATTATTTAATAATAAATAGGGGAATAAATGTTTGCCCAATATGGCGGGTGGTTGTGTACAATCATGGCATCGTCCATGTTGTCGTTAGGTTATTAGAATATTTTGGTGTTGCCTGCAGGTGTTATAGAACAATTTGACAAATTTCTGAAATGAAATGCCGACAGAGTCGAATGATTTACAAAGACTTTGTACCAGATCTATATCTTCTGTTTGAACAGTTGATAAAACCTTTTCAACCAATATGCATGCGTTGTTTGTCTTAAAACATTGGTTATGGCATTTAAACAAAAATATGACAGCAAAAAGTTAGGTTATGGTGAAGTTGTTTACCAACATATCTATCAGTTACTAAACAACAGTTGTATAAGTGCTTCCGTTGGGAGCAATTTGTTGGCTAAGGAAGTAAATTGCACAGCAAAACAACAAGGCTCGGGTTTGTTTTATAAACGTTACCATGGATGCCACAACACAAACATTTTGACTAACTCGCAAATATGCCGTATAACATAGTTGTATAAACGTTTATGCAACAGTTAAAGATTTGCCCTATAAGGTGTTGTATAACTATGCTATAAGAATATTTTAAACACCTCATTTTAGAGCAAATATGTTGCAGAAAGCAAATTTGCATTCCACACAAAGTTAAGCCAGCATTTTGGTGTTCAGGCAACAACAATAGAGAGCTTTTATGGCTGAACTGTTCTTTTACCAAAAGCTTATACCACTACTTTGCTAGTTGGGCATCCATCCAGGCCTTTTTTTTATTTTGATACCACACTGGAAGAGCGTTTAAATGCTTTTGGCCTAGCTGATTTTCCGATTGACAACAAAGGAAACTTGTGTGTACCAGAAGCATTGCTACAAGCAAGGATAGTAACACGTTCTTTACTACGTTTGTAACCAGGAGCTCCAGATTCTTGTTTTGAAGCTAAACTTTTATAGTTTCGTCGCAGTTGTAAATTTGTTCTGGATTTGAACCATACTATTTCGGTAATTCTTTAAAATGTTCTCCTAATTTTAATACAGCGGACTTACCGGCAGATAACTTTTCACCGCAAACTTTTATTGCTCGTATACCGTGTCGTTTTTTCAATAACTGGCAATTCTTCACTTAAGTGCTTTAGAATTGGTCTGGAAATTGGTATTTCACGTTCTCGATTCTGTGTAAACCACATATATAAAGCATCATCCTCTTCTGCGATGATGTCAGAACACTAGACCACTTCCCACGTTTTTAGGCAAACGATCTCTATCTAAACATCTGATTACGTCAAGTTTCTGTTCTTTGATAATAACAACGCGTTTTCATTTATTTCTATGCTGCTCCATCTTAGCGATTATGAACCTGAGTGAAACAAACATACACGCACACATACCAGTGACTGCCGCGAACGCGACTATTTCGGATCATGCGCCGACTTTGCTTAAAACGTGCTACTTCTTGATGTGTGCTGCTGGTACCAATGCTGCTGCAACAGCAAGATTAGCAGCAAAACTTTTCCAAACTCTACAACTGTTATTCATCGTTGAAAGATTTGTGTCTAATAGAACGGTACGTCGCATCTTTATCTGCAGTCGTTTGAGTGGTTGTGAAGCATAAAGTCAACGATCTTTTTAGAGCGCCGTCGGTGCGCGCAGCTTTGAGCGTTAAAAGCCTAATCCCAGCAAAAAGCGACGAGACTCTTTAGCCGAGTTCTTTGATGTCGGTCAAGAGGTTCGTTACATGCATGTGTGCAGAAACTACTCTGGGAAATTCCAGCTAACGCTGTCGGCGCTTAGCGACGTGATCATTAATACACATGCGACTAGGAAGTAGCTTTTTCCAATGGAAATTCGTTGAGCTAGTTCGGATAAGTTGCTACTGTTTCTTACTTAACAACCTAAGCAATCCTGTTATGTTAACTTGTGCCTTAATGACCACAACATCGAGCTCTCCATGTCTATAATCTTTTTGGGTTTAGTGATGGATTGCCACCTCATATCGACAGTGTTTGGAAAAACCTAAATACAGGCGTTTTCTTCATGAATTGCCAAGTCGTGGAACCTTAATTAGTGTTAACTATGCGTTTATATACTCGCGCCCTGTCGTATAATATCGTTGTCAGGGGTAAGGCCTCAACTATCGATAGAGTCTTCATCACACAAAAAAAGAATTATTAGAAACATGTTCAATTTATCGTTCAAAACATCCTATTTGAAAAAATATCAATTTATTTGCTTAAACTATTAACCTATACCCATAAAGTCAAATGTGCTTTCCAAAAAAAAATCGCACTTCTATGATTACAACACGATGGCAACTATACAATTATTTACCAGAATTTATTAAACAAACAGATAACGTAATGCTCTTTGAAAAGCACCTTAAGAGGAGGTCTTATCTAACACCTTCCATAGAGTAGATGAGTTCCTTGGATTTTTGCGGTATAATTGTCAGGCGGTCCATTAACTTGGTAGTTTTAGTTTTTCTGTATTCAATTTGTTTGTTGTTCTTTAGTTTGTCATTTACTTCGTCTTTATTATTTAGAAATATTGTATGTTATACATATGACGTATCTATAAGTATGTATAGTGCTAGGACCTAACAAAGAAATCTGAATCTGGACTGGAGAAGTACGAGAAATATCACATACCAAGAAAAATAGAGCTATGCTATCTAGGCACTGGTTACTTTCTATGGATATAATTCCAAACTACTGCCATAAGCGATCACCCTGTAACGCCTTACACCTGCCACATAGGCGCCATATACGTCGATAGATACCCTAGACCGCATCCGTCGAGAAAACGATTGAATACAGAGTCGTCCAGAAAACGTTCTTAGAAGGATAGAATTGAAAATATTTTCTTCGGATGCTGACCACGTCGAATCATTTATTTTAGTATGATCTGAAGGAGAAAGCTTAGAATTATCGTATAAACCTTATGCTGGGCTGACAAATTGGTTCATAAAAGAAATTCATGTAACGTTATTTATAGCAAATATGAACAATACCTTTTGAAAGTTGGGACTTTACAAAACGTGAATAATAAAATGAAGAAAAACACTCACTAGTTTCAAGAACTGACCTGTCAGGTGTTTTGTTTGTAATCACTACTGGAAGTTGTCGCTGTTCGATTTGGGTCTGTCTAGGTCTAAATTCAACCAGACTATAAAGAAACATATGCGGCTCTGATGGAAAGAAACATCGAGGACGATGTTCTGAGTGCACTCGCGGAGTATCAATACGATCTTGAAGATGCTCATATCAAATCGGTAACTACGTTCTTGCTCTAGGAATGTGCTAATTTCGGTTTTGATCCTTGGATCTTTTACGCTCTGTAAAGGAAAGTCTCAACTTTGAGGACACTCCATACCGCATATCTAGACTCGTCTCTTTCCAAAAATCGTCCTGCATTTAATGTTAGTAATTCATTGTACCCCACCAAAGATCCAATACGGCTCTGACGAGCCGAGCAGATATAGAGTAAGGAATCGATGCCATTTATAAAAACGCTTCCTAGGAATTTCAATCAATAATGGGGAATCTTTTAATAGAGGTCAAAGATTAAATATAAAGCAATCCATTTCAACTACAGAGCAGAAATAGCCTTTAATTATTCCTCGGTTTCAGTGCACAAAGTTGAAACATGGGAACTCGATTTAGCTTTTGATTCTGTACTGTTTTGAAATTGCCAACAAATTTTGATCAATAAATCGTGCTATAAAGCGGAAAGCAATCGAATGGTTAACAGCTACTGACTTGATACTAGAGATCACACGAAAGCTTACTAGCAGTCACTGTTATGTGCGAGAACGTCACCTTTCAACACGGTTTCATTACCTGGGCATGTATCTATCTAACGGAATCTTTGAGCATCATTTTCACCAATTTCCAGAAGTTTGATTAATTTGAAACTTCGCACACATACTTCTTCAAGGTAGTGCATTCTCACCTTGGTCACTCCTTACACAAGCGTAGGTACTATTGAGTCTAATACACGCGAACAATCAAAACCAAATTGGATCGCTGAAGAACTGTTCAATACAGAGACAGAAAATAATAACACCTATGAAGTTCCCGGTAACGAATCTTTTGTTTGCGATCAAACCACAAAATTCAGATACATCTTTCACTGATCAATATTGCGAGTATTATACACAAGATAATCGTGAAACTGATCACGTAGAACCACCTCAAAATTTTCAGAAGGACTCATTCATAGACCACAAAACCTAGCACCAGAGGTAATTTCACTTAACGCCAGCGATGCTGGCGAGCTATCCTACCGGCTGCGCCAATTTCTGACTCGGTCAGATAATTCGAACGTCGTCGTTCTCGTACAATGTTCTCGAATCAAGAGTTCGTCGACATGTTGCTAGTTTACGGTGAAGCTCGTCAGAATTCAAATCTTGCAACTCAGATTTCGACAACGGGTACATCTCCAGACAGAAGGACATTCGTGCAAGTGTACCAAAGACTTCGAGATACAGGAAATGTTCAGCCCACTAATATTCGCACTCGTGAAAGACAATTTTAAATATCGTGGAAATCAAGCATTCTAGTGACGGACGGATTTCCATAATACTCACACGTGGGATCAAGAAGATCCTCATACCATTCGTGAAGGTCATTTCCATCAACGTTTTAAAATAAATATTTGGGCGGGTATTCTTGACGATCAGGTAATTGGCCCTTTCGAGTTACCCACAAAGTTGTCAAGAGAAGGATACCTTAGCTTTCTAGCCAATAACCTACCAGAACTTTTGGAACAGACCTTAGACAACATGCCATCACAACGGAGACAGAATTTGTGGTTTCTTCATGACGGGGCACCACCACCCATTTTTAGAGGCGTCATTCAGTATTTGAATGAACATTATCCAAATCGCTGGATCGGTCGAAATGCTCCTGATCCTCGAAAATGGCCAGCAAGAACTCCTGACCTCAATCCGATGGATTTCTGATATTGGGGAGAACTTCAAGGGATGGTTTATGGGGCTAGTCCAATAACAACTGAAGCACAACAACAAAAATTTTAATGCGGCTGAAATAATAAATTGACAACTTCGACGATATAGAGTAAGAAGAAACTGGGTTCGTCGTAATGAAGCTTGTATGGAAAGGGGAGGACGACATTTTGAACACCTTCTTTAAATACAAAGAATGCAGTGTGGGTTTTAAAAAGAAAAACAATGTATGTATCAAAATTTTTGCCTCTTAATCCCCCCTATCGCACATCTAAATAATGACTATTAAACGTTGCTCGCTTAAACTATTTCTATCTATCCATCTGTAGAACCCTCCACACATTGTCTGCATTAAAACGCGTCTATATTATGTCATAGACATTTTCCTGTACGAGGATCGTTTTTCCAATAATTCCGAGGACCCTGACATGGTAGCAGCTTACAAATATATATAGAACAATCCACCATGTCGTCACAAATGACGAATTAAAATTGAAGTAGCATCGATCGCAAATACGCGTATTAACAACCTTGATACCAACAATAATATTGGTATCAGCTTTAAGAAACAGTGTGATTAATATTTCTATGAGAAACAGTGTGAGATGTGAATAATCATGTTGTGATAATGGTTCCAACGTTATTGTGGACTGTCTTTTGTACTCTTTTAACATTTTTTATCTAGATTAATTAAGTTTATAATTATCCATATAATGTAATAATTCAGGTCTTCAGTTAAGTGGAAGATCATTGCTGGACCTTGGAAAAATGGACAGTGAAGCTGTAATACCACCCAAAATAAAATGTACAACTTACCAGAGAAATAAAAACATGATGTAACTTTGAAGCTGTATCACTTTTCTTGTTGTTATAGTTAGATCGATATTTTACCAAAAATTTAATACTTATTTGATTCTTCTCCATCGTGACAAAATGGCTCTGATTACAATTACGTGCAATTTTTCAGCCTATTTGAATTTGGTTTGGGTTCAAAGACTCTTATAAATTGATTTGATCCCTTCTCTCCTATACTATCGCCAGACGACAAGCAATTGCTCGTCCGATGCGGGACGGTCGGGCATTTAATTGAACAAACAGAGCAACAATCTATTTGGACTACGTCCAACCAGAAGTTATCAACTGATGAAATAGCATTCGCGGAGGTATTAGGAGTTTTCATTTATTTTTCCAAGACGACGCGTAAGAAAGCTGCGGTTGACAAGTATCAGGTCATAAGAAAACATGACGTTCTAGATTAAATTCATATAAGTATTGTCAACCCACGACGAAATCCATTCATGCAATACTCAAAATAAGTAAAACTATTAGATATAACATCACAGAATCAATAAAATTAGAAATAGCGTTAGCGTTCTTGGCTTGAATGTCTCACCTCTTCAGGCAAAAGCTCTTGATATTGAGGATTTTGATGTGATTGTGTGGAGTTTTCATTTCATCAAGAGCTTTCTTTGACATACGTGAAATTAAATTGTTTATGGCTATGATTCGCATGATTTTCTTCAAAACAGCATATATTCTTCAATCATTGAGATACTGACATGAATCAAAAAAATAACTGTTGAGAAAGGTTGAGGCTTAAAATTATCATACGAAGACACATTACTCAGTAATCCAAAATTTCAGAAATTTAGGGCAAAGTACACCTTTTAGTTACAGCCTGTATAACAACAAACATTTTCAATTTCTTTCCATGAACGACAGTCGACAATGATGGCGATGAAATTACCTAGAACTTGACGAAAAAATTAACGAAATTGATGCAAAGGTTAAAGAGATATTTAAAATTTAATTTGAACAAAATTTTAATTGTCCGGTTAATTTTGCGTTGCAGTTTATTATCTCTTTGTATATACCTTTATATTTTGCCCTGACCCGTGTAAGCGCATCACGTGCATTAACACCAATAAGCTATTATTATTATTATCTTCGTCTTCATTTTACAGTTTTGAATGACGGTAGCAGGGCGTTGCGTTGTTATTATTATTTCAACTGCTCACCTGATTTTCGCTGCTGAGCAGCTTCAACTGGTCGTTGATGAGACTGTACTTGGCCGATTCTTCTTTCCGCAGCGCCCGTTCTTTCTTCAGTTCGGGACTCCAGAAGGTTTTTATGGAATGCATCGAGGAGCCTAATTTTTGGTTCGTCAGTTCCAGCTCCTTTTTCAAATTCGCGAGGTCGCGTTGTAGGTCAGAGTTTTGGTTCTGCAGTTCGCCTATGAACGGCTGGTGGGACGTTGGGGACTGTCTCGCTGATCTGAAAAAAAAATAGTTATATAAAAAATTGATAATCAATGTCATAAGCACACTCTTACAATTTAAACTCGAGCTTTCGAAGGTCGATGCCCTCATCGTCTGGAGCTGAAACAGTTTTTGAAAAATAGCAACAATAAACATTAGGAGGAAAAAATATATAATTACTTACTAAGTCGGCGAGATTGTTGCTGAAATTGTTCTTAAACCACAGTGAAGGGAACACATAGTCGACAAATAAAAAAAAAGTACAGTGTTTTATTCGGCGACTATGTTTATTGTTGCTATTTTTCAAAAACTGTTGCCAGCTCCAGACGATGAGGGCATAGACCTTCGAAAGCTCGAGTTTAAGTTAGAAGAGTGTGGTTATGCAATAGTTTGCCTTCTACCCAAAGAAATGCAAGGATATTTTCTCCCAACAGTTAAGGCAATTAACTATGAATACTATATATATATATATATATATATATATATATATATATAACTTGAGACGTGGTCATTGTCGTCTAGACCAGTTAGGTGGAAAATTAAAGCTTCCGCCTTTTGTTGGGTACTTCGACAAAATTTAAGCAAAGAGGACTCTTTATACTTTTTTAATTCTCTCTAGCTTTCAATGGACTTTGCCATCATCATCAGGAGCTGCCATTACAATTGTTGCTACTGTTATCATTGTAATTGCAGCTCCTGATGATGATGGCAAAGTCCATTGAAAGCTAGAGAGAATTAAAAAAGTATAAAGAGTTCTCTTTGCTTAAATTTTGTCGAAGTACCTAACAAAAGGCGGAAGCTTTAATTTTCCACCTATATATATACGGAAAGGCTCGTACTGCAAATAGGGCCTAGAGGCATTTTTTTCGATGGCCAATATTGAAAATCAGCGTGCCAATAAATGACATATTACTTACCTTGAACTATAAGGATCATCGTCGTAGTAGAGGCCTCTATCCAAAGATCGGTCTCTTCTATCTCGAATTGGTAGGAATTCGCGTTCGTGGTCCATCGTTGGGCCACGATCCAGGGATTGATAGCGAACTGACATGGGGTTTGAGGTTCTGTAACAAAACAAAAAAATAAAATTATGCTGGTATATCAGCGAGGTTATGGCGGCAGAGTGATTGTGATTAAATAGGATGGGGTGAGAAAATAAAAAAAAACAGTTCTAAGGGTTCTTTGTACCTTTGTTTTTGGATGCAAATGGTAGCAAGTAACCAATGATGGATCTCTGGCGCTAAAGGAGATACAAACTCACAAGGACAACAAACATTTATCGAACAAAAGAAATAAAAAAAATTGAAGCAAGTCCTGGAGGACAAGCAAAAGAAACTAACCTCCCCCGGCTAAATGGTTACCAGTAAAACTAAAATTTTCACAAAATCGGGTAGTGGGCCGTTGAATTCCTACACGAGAGCACCGGAAATAGCACCTAGTCACCTTCAGCTTTCGATAGAAATTATAAAAATGACCTTTAACGAGATGGAGAGTAGAGTATGATTTTTTACCATAAAATGATTAGACTAAGAGAAGTGGTGTGTGATAAAAATGATGTTTTTAAGAACTTCAATAAAATTATTATTCTAAATAAGAAAAAGTAAGAAATTCTGAGAAAATCCTTGGATTTGTAAGGGGATCCAACGATTCCCAAAGAAACCAAATCTTTACCCTCGCTTATGCCTACATTGACCGCGCTATTTCATTTTGCGTTTTTTATTAAAGAAGCATAAGGGATCTCTCGTACGGATGATACATTCCAGATGCGGTTGAATATCCTTTCATGGCCTTTCCGATGAACGAGACCCTTGTATACAATATTCGTAACACGCCCCAGACTGTAACGTACATAAAATGTCAACGAACACCGTAGCATGAAATTGGATCTTACAGTTCATTTCCTGCTTTTACCCTCATTACTGCTATTAGAGCCAGCATATCGCGCGATGAAAAGCCTAAAGACATAATAGCCACGTTCTAGCATCACATTTCCAACGATTTTGAACTCCTTCAATGCATACGCGTTGTAAAAAGCTAGTTTCAAACGGTTCCAAATTTGATTCCGCCAAAAAATATTTTTTGGGTCTATTTACTGTTCGTATTTCCAATAACTTGAATATTTTTTTATCTGTAACAAATTAGTTAATGAAATTAGACACAAGCTGCATCACAGAGAAAAGTGATAGCCTGTACCAAGTCAACGCCTACACATTCACACATAAACGTTTAATTACAGCTTTACAGCTTGTAAAGAAGAAGATTAGTTCGTTCACGTCAAGAGCCGAAACACACGTTAAATCCGCAGTCGATAAGAAATCCAAAAGTGCTGGCATTGACAAGAGGAGAACCCGTCAATCCCAAAGCTGCTCTGGGAGTAGTAGTCGTAGAAGTAGAGGAAATAGTTCTAGTATTTAATTTGTGTTATACATATAGTTTACACAGTTCAAATAGTAAATAAAATTTGATATACTTCGAAGTTGAGTCATTTATTTTAACAGTGAGTAGATCTGATCAAAAGAAATGTTCTTTCCTTTACCATTTTTCTGGTAAAATTAAAGTAACAAAGTTATAGCCCTTTGGAAGTTGGAGTACCGCCCTGTCTCAATAATAATATTATGTGCTCGTGTTTGGCGACAACGGATATAATTCGCCTTATCGGTTCATCGCATCGGAAACAAAAAAGCGAAAGAATTTGGAACGATGTTTTTACAATTATTTCATTCAGTTGTATACAGTCAGTGTCAGGCGGCAGTGGATAGTGGTTTCTGTTGCGTGGCTCAAACGAAATAAAAAATGGCACATGTTTATGCGGATTGGTTTCCCAATCGAGTGCAACCAACCCCTCGTGCCTTTGTTAATGTAGTACAACGGGTTCGTGAATCATTTGACTTAAGACCTCACATATGGACGGCATGCCGGTGCTCCAAGACCTCACGATCAAATACAGGTCCGCACTGAAATACTTGTCGGGAGGATGCATTATAAAAGAAGGTAAAATTTTTTTTTTTATTTTTTTTTTTATTTTTACACACATATTTTGGTTTATCTTCCTTCTACAATCATTATCTGAAAATTAATGACTCAACTTCAAAGTCAATGAATGATGAATAGATGTAGCTTATGTTAGAGAAGTCTAAGTATGAGGTTATAGATCTTTGAACTTGTCCCAGATAAAAGGCTTTGCATAAAATATTCTTTTTAATATCACTCTTGAACTGTGTATCATTTAATATCTTGAGCTTTTCGGGTAGCATATTGTAAAACTTTATACAGCGATAGTTTACTCCATTTTTTGATCGTTGAGTCGTAAATCATTAGGATGATAATTATTCCTATTGTACTAAATGTGTGGTCATAGCTAAATCGATGTATTCTGCTTTTCATATAACATGGGCACTCTAGGAAGTAGACGCAAGGAAGTGTAAGGATATTGAGATTTTTAATGCAAAAATTATCTTGACATGACAAGGAGTAAACCCAGTTAATAGTGGAGAATGGAAATGCCCATAATATTGCCTCGAGTGATCACCCTGTAGCGTCGTACACACGTCACATAGGCGCCATATAGGTCGATAGATGCCCTAAACCGCATCCACCGAGAAATGTGCATTGTCGGCAAATAATGCATAATGTGCAAATGTGGGGGTTGTATCGGTTTATAAAAACTGGATGGGTCGACGCGTGGGATTAATCCTGACTTGGGATCACTCGGGGCGAAACTTCCCACATTCTGCATCAAGGAAGAATTAGTAAAGAGGCAACATGTGTTCAGATCGTCGAGTTGTTTATTTCCCTACGCTGTTTTGGTTGTATATTTACACAGATGCGTGACGGTTCTCGGCAAGCTTACTATTTACAGCTTGTACACAAGGCTTATGCCTCGTGCTGAACATACTTTAAGCATGCATTGTTTTCATTGTTCGCTCGAAAAATAACCGATCTCAAATATCCGTCGTAGTTAACGAATTATCTTCGTTATACCACAACGCCAACACGGGTGTTCCCCAGGGATCGATCTTGGCTCCGACATTGCTTCTACTACATATCAACGATCTTGTTTTCTGTACGATCAATCCGATCCACAGGTAATAAATCGCAAACATTACATATAGTGGTTAAAGGAAAACAAACACTATACGAATAAGTCATTATAAAATTATTAAAAGGTAAAACTGGTATATGAACGTTATAATCCAGAGAACATGGACTTGTCGAATAGATATTACAAAGAAATACAAAATACTACAAACTAATGAATTCAGCAACAGGATAACACAAAGCTTTCAGTTTACCTTACAAATGTTACTTGATTCGGCGTTGCTGATTTCACTAGCAAGTGCATTCCAAATTCTAAGCCCCAAAACATTTATAATCAACTGTGTGTTCGTAGCCTAGATCGCTTGGTGTTCCGTGCTCTTTTATTATGCGGGGTCGGTTGTTGAATATTTGAGATCGACCTTCTAATTTGGAATAGACCAGGAAGTATCTCAGTATCTGCTCCTAGAAATATTCTGATTTGATGAAATAAGACAACGCAAAGCGCCATCTATTATATCTATTATATCTCAGCTCACGTTTGATAAGATCTCTCAAATTTATAAAATTTCAAAAATTCTTAACATTATCAATTTTTTCAAAATCTCGAATTTTTTTTTAAATCGCCAAAATTTTCAAAATTTCCAAGATTTTCGAAATTTTCAAAATTTTCAAATATTCAAAATTTTCAACCGTTCAAAAAATATTAGAATTTTCGAAAATTTGAAAATTTCCAGTTTTCAAAATTTCAAAATTTTCAAAATCTCCAAGATTTCAAAACTCAAAAATTCTTAGAATGATCAGAATTTTCGAAAAATTTTAAAATTTTTAGCGTTTCAATGATTTTCAAATGTTTTAAAGATTTTCAAAATTTTCAAATGAAATCAAAGCATATTATACTACACCATATTCAAGTGGTATTTAGCTTATTATTGTTCTATAATCCTGCTATAAGAGTTGAAAACTTTTATTTTCCTTCTCGCTAAGAATTATTTGAAGAATATTTCTCATTCAGAGACGTGGTAAATGACGTCATCCTGTATTTTGGTACTTTTTGCTCCAGGATTGTTACTAACTGTTCTTGAATCACCCTGTAAATGGAACTCAGTTGAAATAGCAACTCGCCGACACCGATTCAACCCGGCCAACAAGCAAGAGCATCATTTTATTAGCGGTGCATCTGCCTCTAGTTATTCGATTTAAATGATTATCCAACAGACATCAGAGCTGGCAAATCGGAAAAAAGCGCGACGCTCAATTTTACATTTAAACGGACAACCAATTAAAAAGCCATATCAGGGATCTGGTGCGGGTCGATTCCTGATTTGCGACAATCCAGGACCGTATGTCAATACTTCGGTTTGGGGAATACGTAATGAGTGCTTCAATTCTTGTCTTTCAGAAAATCTGAGTAGAGTCGATAACGCTCAAATTAATTTGCAAGCCTCAGAGTACCCCACCAGTTGAACAAAGGTGAACCTACTTATCGAGCCGAGATTTGTGTGCTTCTTTTGTTTCGAAAATTTTAAAAATTCCGTAATTTTTGAAAACTTTGAAAATGTAATAAACGTTGAAAATGTTGGAAATGTCGAAAATGTTGGAAATCTTGAAAACGTTGAAAATGTTGGAAATGTTGAAATCTTGTACATGTTGAAAATATTGAAAACGTTGAAACGTTGAAATGCTGTAAATGTTGAGAATTTCGAGTGTTGAAAATTTTGAGGATTTTGAAAATTACGAGAATCTTTAAAATTTTGAAACTTGAAAAGCTGTTAGAAGTGTGTAAAGTGCATATTTGTTAACTATTCGTTTGCAACTCGGGGATTGATCAACCCTCACTAGGCACCTAGCCGAAATTTTGAAAATTCTGGAATTTTTGAAAATGTGAAAAATATTGAAAATGCCGAAAATGTCGGAACTGTTGAAAATGTTGACAATGTTGAAAATGTTGAAAACGTTGGAAACATTGAAAATGTCGAAATGTTGTAAATGTTGAAAATGTCGATAGTGTTGAAAATATTGAAAACTG